TGGACACATAGGTGACATTGCTATAAGCCATCGATGAAGGATTGCCACTTTCTGGAGTGGCAGTTTCGACTCCGATCATGCGCTGGTACGAGGTCATGTATATCTGCGCCTTACTGGCCACAGGAGTCAGTGAGACTCATCTGTGCTCGATTGGTAGATGAAAGCGCCAAGTACACACTCAGAATAGAGTTAGCTAAGAATTTATATGAACATGATACCAATGCTCATCCTGATGAAAGCTGGGGTGATAGGTCTACTGAAGAAACTGCGATAACGACATTTGGTAACCTACACCTCAAGGTTAGCAAACGTCATTGGATTTCCGCGACATCATCCGAACTGATTGATGCGAGAAGACTGATTCAAGCTGCTCTGACCACAAAGAAGAGCGAAAGCAACTTAAAAGTAGGCTGAACAAGAGTTCACAATGACCGCGAGCAGTGGTGGGTAAAGAAACTGAGAGAGATGGAGGAGGTGTCAGCGTTGGGTAGCACTTGACAACTACTTGGGTCTATTAAGGATGCCGGCAGCAAGAAGACGATGGTCAGTGAAACCATCACTGAAAAGGATGGGACGCTGATAACCTCCCAGGACAGGTGGCCAGAACGCTTTGAAGCACAGTCAACTGGTCCTCAGCAACGTTTCAGTTGCCCAACAGCCAGCTTGAATGGACATAAATGTCAGTCCTCCGACTCTCCGTGAAGTTGAGAATGGTGTATCTAACCTGAAGAGATGGAAAGCAGCAGGACCTGACCCGCCACGTGAAGTGACGGAGGCACTAGGTAGGGTATGGAAATCAGAGGTATTGCCGTCAGACTGATCATCGCAGTCTATAAGAAGGGGTAGAAGTCTTCTTGTGACAGTCATAGAAGAATTGGTTTGACCAGTATAGTGTCCAAGATCCTAGCGTCCATAGTTGCCGACACTTAATTGGAAGTCGAGAACTGCAAACTCTAGTAAACCAGGCAGGCTTCAGACCTGGACGAGGGTAAATCGATCATATTTCCCCCCTCCAGCAGGTCCCGGAACTTTTATGATTCGAAAACTCCTATGGCCGCTAACAATGCAGGGATGTCGAGTGTCAGCCACCAACATTCAACGAATTCCCGATCCGACTAATGAATGGAGAAGACACGATGGACGTGTAGAAACGTGTACTGGTGTTGAAAGACTGAAGGCACGAAAAAGGGAAATATATCTAATATATAAATGATTCGCTGTTTAAAATAATACTATCGATTGGCTGAAACATCATCTGTCTGTCTAACTCTAGAAGTGATAACATAAGATACATTCTCATTGGTCCCTCTCCAGACTAGGCTTCTTTCTGTTGATACTGGGTGATGATTGAAGGTGAAACAAAAATTTAGACCGGATTCGAACCACCAGATTTCTGGCCCAATGCTCTACCAACTGACCAGAATTTTGTTTCATTTCACTGATCAAGGGCTTTTCGCAACTGGCGTGCGAATTTGTGATGCGTTGCTACCCCTTGGCCGTATTCACACTGGCTGCGTAGTCAGGACTTCTCATCCCAAACTAAATCTAACTGAATTAGAGAGGGGGATCATCATACTGATTGTTATTTTGACTATCCCCATATAACTATAGTAGTGATAACATAAAATACATTAATTTCCTTTACAGATTAGGTTCTTCTCTCTATCCCCATATCAGGAACACAGGCATATCTACCGACACTTGCCATATTTCTTGACCCGAAGGCGGTGGCCTTTTACTCCGTCGACCGTGATGTGTTTTAGCAGTGTCTGACTGTGAAAAAGTGCGAGAAAGCATATAATGCTAATCAAAGCTTTCTACTCGAACTCACGCAGTCGTGTAAGGCTTATGGAGAGATGTCATGTGAACTGACGACAACTGGTGGTGTTCACCAAGGCTGCCCACTGTCACCGCTTCTATTTAGATTCATTACAGACATCTAATGGACATAACAATCTTAGGGACTTGTGACTGTACAGGGATTGGCCTACTCCCTTAAGGGCATCTGGTTGATTTGTGGAGTATGGAGATGACATTATCCTGTTAAGTGAAGACGCTGACAAAATGCAGGGTCTTGCCAGTGTTTAACAGAAATCTGAGTTTGTTTGGTATGCATTTCGCTGACACCTGTCAAATGAAAGATGAGGCTGCTCCAGGACTGACCTACTGCAACCACTCCCAGGTTAAAGATAGAAAGCGAAGTGGTGGTATGTGTCAATCAATTCTCTTACACGAGGAGTTGCATCAGCTCGAACAGGCTGGTTGGTGACGAAATCTCACCTCGGATACAGAAGACCCGTTCTGGACTTACCATTTTGCGTCATCTGTGACGCCAACTGGCGAGATATCCGATTATCAATCAAAGGACGAGTACACTGTACTGTAGTCCATTCTATCCTGTTATACGGCTGTGAGACATCGTCATTGAAAGATGACATAAAGCGATTATACGGTCCTTAGTCAACTAAGATAGCTTAGATATGTACTGTGCAGGTCGATCCACCGCCTGTGTCGACGTGCCATGCTAGGGGAAGTTGAATTAGATTGGAAGAGGGTTCAGGGTGGGCAGATCAAGAGGTGACACCAGTCCCTGACTATTGGTCTGAGCTGTGTTGGGAGATGTAGACTACCTGATTGGGGTTTTCGAGATGAAAGAAACCAGTGGTTGAGGACCAACTCTTGACGACATGGCTGAAAATGGGTCACAATGACGCAAATGTATTCACTACCTAACATCTAAAGCTTGAATATTTGCACTAACCATTATCCTCAGATTGTTTATTCGCTCTAACAAATTTGTCTACTTTGATATCACTTTTTTGCATTACTATGAAGTGTAGCGATTTGAGCCGATGCAACTATCATTCCATTTGAAAGTGATAAAACAGCAGGTTTCAAATAAATTAGAACGATTTTCCTCGTATTGACAACAAATATTTGTAAACATTATGCTGAGTTCTGTAAGAAAAGCTAGGGACCACCACTTTCTGATACTTGTAAGTCCAAAGAAGAGGGTAACACTGTTAAACATGGAGAGGATTCAAAAACTGTTGAGAAAGAGACATGGTAAGTTTGTCTCACACCTGCGCAAGTGTGACAAACACCAACAAAATTCATAACTAGATATTTTATTGGGAAAGATCAACATGTTTGTCTAGTTCGGCACTAATCAGTAATGTGGAAGTGAGGCGTGGTGTTTTAGAAATAAAAGGTAAATTAGTCGATGAGGTTAGGAACCTTCATCGACTCAAATGTCTAGGACGTGTGTTACGCATACCTAGTCACTATCTGCCCAATTGTGCAATGTTGGTTGAATTAGGTTTAGACTGGAAAAAGGTTAAAGGTAGTCAGACTAAAACAGCATCATTGAATGAAGTCATTGAATGTTGGTCCGAGGCATCATAAGGAGATGCAGACTAGCCAGTTGGCGTCCACGTGGTTGGAGACTCTAGGTGATATGGATACCAGTGCCGCAGAAGTATCCATGCTTTGTTTTCATCGTAATCATCATACTGAACTTCGTTCTTTTCTGTTCTCTTCGTACGACTTTCTACCACTTTTGACTATTGTCTTCTTTATTTCTCTATTTTCCACCTTGTGCTGATATGATGTATGGCAATATGAACCGTTATGCAGTAATGCGAAGTCCCTCGTTGATGCTAAGTTTGATACTAGGGAGTGATTAAGCGTATTCGTCTAATCAAGTTACACCAACCCTGAGAAGTCAGGATCTGATGAAATCTAGACAGAAATGCAAAAGATGTACCAGAACAATATCATTCGTTCTATTACATGACTGTGACATACAGGCGTTAAAGATGAAGGTATTCGAAAGGTTACATTTATTCAAACATCACCAATAGCATTGAGAAGAACTGTACAATACCAAGCAGATGGAGTTATTAACTTTATCAGCTTGGGTGAATATAGAGAAGACAGAGATGATGAAGATACCGCACCACCAACAACAAAAACTCCAATCACCATCAACGGGAGAAACCTAAAGCAAGTAGCCTCCACCTACCTAGGCAGCACTGTCTCAACTACAGGCGGCAAAGACGAGGACGTCAAAGTCAGGATCGGAAAAGCAAGACGGGCGTTCATTAGACTGAAACCAGGGTGGAGATCTACTGCACTCAGCATGTGGAACAAGATCCAGATTTTCAACACTAACATTAAGTCAGTGCTTCTGTATGGTTCAGAGACTTGGCGCGTTACGAAAGGGATTTCCAACAAACTACAGACATTCATCAACAACTGCCTACGCTGGCCCGTTACTAAAGCTCAGATGGCCAGAATAGTAAGAATAAGCAACAAGGAACTCTGGCTGGCGACGAACCAACCAAGAATCTATCGCTCAATAAATATGCAGAAGGAAGTGGAGATGGATCGCACATACACTGAGAAGGCCGACTGTGGACATCACGCGTCAGGTCCTGGAGTGGAACCCCGATAGGAAGCGACGAGCTGGGCGTCCGAGGGTGACATGGAGGAGATCGTGCGAGGAGGAAATGAGAGCTTCTGGGCAGTCGTGGAGCCGGGTTCAAAAGATTTCAGAGAACAGAGCGCATTGGAGACGTGCTACTGAAGCCCTATGTTCCATTAGGAACCCAAGGGACAAATAATAAAATAATAATCAGCTTGGGTGATTGGTGCATATATTAGGTGCCTAAACATTGTCTACCTCAACCTACATATTTAGATGGATCAACATGGAAGTAACCTCATAGTGTTTGAAATGAGAAATAGTATTTCAACATGAAATCTTTGGTTGTTAGTCTTAGCTGTGAAGATTTCGTAAACAGGACCTGTCAGGGGACCGACGTCAACAGTTGGAGACTAGGCGGTATAACTCACAACCAACCAACAATGGCACAGGTATATGCTGTACATCTTATCTTCTTTTATATCCGTTTTTCACTCCTGACTTTCCTCTTTATCTAACTGCCTTAGTTATTCCCAATCAATGATATGAACACTTTCAGGCTTCTTTTTTGTTTCATTCTTATTGTGTTGGTGTGATGTGAAACAAACTGAACTTGTACATTCATTTTGTTAGATTCTGCGTTGTTTGAAACTAAGAGAGCAGTAAACACCATTACAAATTGAAGCACACTAAACACAAAATCATCGCTCAACTTTATCTCTTTGATCGATTACATAATAGGATACATAAGATACATGACAGGAAGAATAAAACAGGGACAATAAGTGTACAGAACGACGGGAGAAAAAGTACACTAACACGGGTCATATATCTACAGATCATCGATTTTTAATTTAATTTTCTTCAACTCTTATTTATCCAACAATGATTACCTATAGGATGATCTTTAAAATAGTATGGACCATATTCTTCATACATTTTAACAGTTACATAACTCTTCTCACACCAGGGAGAATATGTGAAATGACGAGCTCCATGCCATGCATCCAACTGAGGATCAGCTAAAAAAAACACGTGTAATAGCAGAAATGTTCAAATTCTTAAGTTGTCTGTGATACACAAAATATGACAAATAGTCAGTGTTGTAAGGTTCCAAGTTTTGCATAAAACATTGTTATTGATCTGAATATTTTTAACTTGGCCTTCACCATTTTACGTATGACTAGTAGTTTCATTTTCTGCCCCCATTGTAATGTAATTCGCTGATTAGTTAATCTTTACTCTTACTATGTCACAATGTCTCTCAGCTTCCGAACACGGTCATATATCATGTGTGTACATAGTCATGTGCCTTTGAATTAATTAGTTGATTATTAATCCCGGAGGAATAAACTCTCCGATCCAGCTTCGGTCTTCTCTATTCGTCCTGGATTGCAGTCGGTAGCTCTTGCATACGAAGTTAGCTGTCAGTTAAGTATTATACCCGTTCGGAATATATAACAATGAGACAGGCTAGAATTAGGTACAGGGGTATGGTTCTTCCTATCTAATTTTGTACACTACAATGTATTGGGAATTAAACACTATTGTTTTGCAGTGGCATCACAAAGAAAATACATTCGTAAAATAAGTCCACCAGAAATGCTCGTAGAAGACCACAGCTGTTTATAGCCTGTGTCAAGAAAGACCCCCCATGCGTAATTGGTGGGGAGTCTCCTCGTAAGAGTGAAAAGGAGGAAATGCGGTCACTTCTAGGCCGACGGATACGAAGGGTTCACTTAGGAGACATGAAAAATGGACTGGCACTCAGTGATCAATATGGCTTTAGAATCAAACAATTAGCATATATCGACATATTCTGGCCGTAGATAACCATGAGAATGCGACTGTTGATGTTGTTCTGCGACGTTGTAAGTTATACCGAAGGGGAGAAAATTAATCAAAATGAACTATTTTACCATAGAGTTCTGACGTACAACACAACTCAAGTCACATCAGCGCCAACTCCCAGCATAACCATCATCGATATGACGCCTGGTATCTTTTGTTCACCAGTGAAGCCAGTACTCGAATAGATCATTGTGGGATTAAATGACGACAGTATGGGAGCAGGATACAGACCTATCTCTCTTTTTGAGTACTGGTTAAAACTCTGACCCTACTATTATATTTGCGAAGTTTATCCTGCCTTTTACAGTCATCAAAACCACTTTCTTAAGCAAATAGATCAAAGCAAACTGGTTGCATCCAGGCAAAACTAAGCTACCAGGAAAGGCAGAGAAATAATCGACTGCGTTTACAAAAGGCCATGAAAGTTAACACAGTATTGAATAATGTCCTACTAGCAGACACTTGGTCTCTACGGAATCCTTTCTACGTCTTGACACCCGTATGTTCATTACGAAGGATAACGTGCGAAATAAATTGCGTTTTTAAATTACGCAAAGGACTGAACAAGGAGTGTGACAAATAGGATACCCAACCAAGGTGGAGGCAGCGGATGAAACTGGCAATTGTTGAGAGCTATTGTAACATATCTGAGTTGCACACACAAATAAAACTTTTCAGTAGTAACGTCCATCAAGCAGCTAAAATACCAGGTAGCTGTCGTCAAAATCGGCCCAGAAGACTGCGGCCAGCAGCATCGAATTCAGCCCCATCCATACAGCACTGATCTAACTAAAGAAGGATATGTCGAGGAGTGACTAAAAGAAATAAAATGCCGTAAAGCACTCAATTTAGATGATCTACTCTGAACTCTTCTCAAGGATGCTGCAGGACTTTAGTTAGCGAGTTAACTTGATGTGTCTTCGAAAAGGTATGGCAGACTAAGTGTTCCATTAGGAATTCTATGCATAGCCATTCATGCTCAAAATATTGGCTGTTATACTTTGCGAATTATTAAAAATGAATAGAAATTTCATGCAAGACATTTTTTTGCTCAAAACATCTGTGCTTTAGGCCGATTGGATCTGCCGCTCTTGACTTAAGACTGTTCACTGCTTCTCTGAGCCTAATCACCACCCTTGTCCGCATAGAATTGCCCGCAGGTCGTTGTGATACGATACAAGAAATTAGTACGTCCAGCTAAAGGTGATCTAAGGACTGAATTCATAATGACCAAAGCTGTAAAATAACTTATCTTTACCATATTTCAGGTTGATATTCATCACGGACTGCTGACATCAGTTAGAGAGACATTGGAAACCTGAGAGCACTGGACAACTGTTTCGTCCTAGTGTGGGACTTCTCAGCAGTGTGCACCCATGACCCCATTCCATGAGCGATCAAACCTAAGGCCTTCAGGTTACGTGACCAACACGCTAACATTGAGCCACTGGGTTAGAATCCAATGGTTTGTGTTTCCTACTTCTGTCACTTCAAGATATAGGGCGACCTCTATTTAATGGTGTCGTTGAGTTCGACTTGGTTGTCCCCACCGATTACAACTTCTCATTGTAACTTCAGGAATCACCTCTCGAAGCAAATCACCAATGAGCTCAACAGTAACGTGCTAGCCATGGAACCTGAAGGCCCTGGGTTCGATCCTGGCGGGGTCATGAGAACGCACTTCTCAGGAGTCCTATAATAGGACGAAACAGCCATCCAGTTCTTCCAGGTTTCCAGTGTTTCTCCAACTGATGTCAGTCCATGATGAATACCAACCTGAAATCAGCGCAATAAATCCCCACAAACCCCAAAATTGAATTTATCATATTTTTAATTCGCCTATGAGTACGACCATATCAGTTTTTACTCATCATAGTTAGTGACTGGAGAAAAGTCGTCTTGATGAAACTGAATCATAAACTTCTTTTGTATGTAATAATTTCTAATCTTGCGTAAACTTGGAACTTTGTTAGATTATTGTACACAACTGCTAGGATAAACAAAAGGAAAACCTGTGATGGTGATAATAATAATAGTTATTACGGTAACAATGTGTGGCTTTCATTAGTAAAGACATTTGTATCAAAACTTACAGGCTACAACAATTTCAATATTATCCCATTTAGTCCCAACCGGTAATAATGGTCGAATATCACATCGAATTCTTTCGACAAGCCCAGGTAAGGCGGCAACGCCACCAGTGAGAAATATTCTCTCAGGCCAAGTCGTGTTAATCGATTCATCAAGTAGTCGTGATGTATCTCGAAGGACATACTCTAAGCATTCTGAAAGTCCAACCTCTGAGATACCCATAAAACTTGGCTGAAATAGAACTTCATGAGATCTAATTTGAAAGGAGAAAAAAAGCAAACAAACAAACGATAGTGATATCTGTGCGCCTTACAGGAACAGAAACATTACTAGTAAGTATAAACAGCCGAGAACAGGTTTTAGAGCATTGAAAAGACTTATAAACAATCCAGGAAGATAGTACGACTATCAACCGTAAATCGACTATCTACACATTATGTGGTTGCAATATGCAAACAGAAAAGAGACAAAGAAACTGTGGCCAAGAAGGATAAATCAGTCTGGGCCACTGAAGGATTTATACCAGCGATTACTGCTCTGCCAAGCCAGTTACGAGATCTGGCTGTTGGCTAGATTTTAATTTCACTTCAATTACCAGGGCTTCTCCCAACTGCCATGCGAATTCGTGACGCGTTACTATCGCTTGATCGTATTCACGTTGGTAGTATAATTACACACCAGAAAATGATAGTGATACAGGCACATGAAGAGAATCTCCTTCAATTCACATTATAATTTCAACCGATGAATTCCACATTAAATGGGACGCAGGTAACTAACTTCTCCCGCTAGCCACCAAAAAACAAATAACAGTGAAACCATACGGTTATCGAACATGCTAACAAAGACGGGGTTAGTTCCGTTCAATAAAACAGAAAATCATGAATTCGAAATAGTTCTTAATGACTGTTCGCCTTTCTTTCAGTGAAATAGCTATAAACAAATCTAAAGTTGAACGATAAACTCCCCTGAATGAGGGTGAGACTAAAAGTTATCGAAATGTGTAATCAACGCTTGTTATGGGATATAGTGTTTTTTCTACACAAATTCATGAATTTTCTGTATTTTATTTTTTTTATTAGTCCCTTGGGTTCTAGTGGAACATAGGGCTTCAGTAGCACGCCTCCAGTGACCTCTGTTCTCTGAGATCTTTTGAACTGGTCCCACGACAGCCCAGAAGCTCTCATTTCCTCCTCGCATGACCTCCTCCATGTCACCCTCGGACGTCCAACTCGTCGCTTCCCATGGGGATTCCACTCGAGCAACTGGCCTAACGCGTGATGTCCTCAGTCGGCCTTCTCAGTGCATGGCCAATCCATCTCCACTTCTTCCTGCATATTTGTTGCGTGATAGGTTCTTGGTTGGTTCGTTCCCAGAGCTCCTTGTTGCTTATTCTTTCTGGCCATCTGATCTTCAGCAGCGAGCGTAAGCAGTTGTTGATGAATGTCTGTAGTTTATTGGAAATGCCTTTCGTGACGCGCCAAGTCTCTGAGCATACAAGAGCACTGACTTGACGTTGGTGTTGAAAATCCGTATCTTGTTCCGCATGCTGAGTACAGAAGATCTCCACACTGGTTTCAGGCTAATGAACGCCTGTCTTGCTTTTCCGATTCTGACTTCGACGTCCTCGTCCGTCCCGCCTGTAGTTGAAACAGTGCTTCCTAGATAAGTGAAGGAGGTTACTTCCTTCAAGTTTCTCCCGTTGACTGTGATTGGAGTTTGTTGTTGTTGTTGTTGATGGTGGTGGTGCGGTATCTTCATCACATCTGTCTTCTCTATATTCACCTGAAGTCCCGTCTTAGCTGCCTCTTCTGTCAACTTGTTAGTTTTTGCCTGCAGATCTTCAAGTTTATGTGACATTAGGCATAAGTCATCGGCGAAATCCAAGTCTTCTAGGTTCTTTTCCGTCGTCCAGTGTATCCCCCTCTTCTCGCTGCCTACTGTTTGCTGCATGATCCAGTCGACCACAATCAGGAATATCATGGGGGATAGTGGGCAACCTTGTTTCACTCCTGTCTTCACTTCAAAGGCATCACTGAGCTTCCCATTGTGGATTACTTGGCATGTGGCATCTTCATATAGTTGTTGAATGAGGCGGATAAAGGTTTGCGGTACTCCGTAGTATTGAAGCAGTTTCCAAATTACTTCTCGGTCGACGCTGTCAAAGGCCTTCTCAAAGTCGATGAAGTTGAGGTATAGAGCTGATTGCCATTCTATACTCTGTTCTATGATGATACGAAGCGTTGCAATTTGGTCTGCACATGATTTGTACTTCCTGAAGCCTGCCTGTTCCGGTCGCAGTTTTGAATCCAGTGCGTCTTTAAGCCTCTCCAGGATGATGCGGCTTAATATTTTACTTGGGTGGACAGGAGAGTGAGAATTTTCTGTATGCTGTATGTATATTTTTTACCTATATGTATAGTTTCTAAAACGCCATCTGTCATTGAATCATGTCTCATGCTATTTATTCATGTGTAAAGGTATTTATTGCACTTCCACCTCTTAGTTGGGATGTGAGTACATTCAATTATGAAGAATGATGATCACAAATCAAAGTAAGTAACTGAGCCTTCAAATTGCAGCAAAAAAAAGGATTTACGATCCAAGTTTTCACTTTAAAATATATGCTTACAAAATATAGAACAACGATTATCAAATTTTCCTTAATATCTGCCTAAAAGATGTGTAGTAAGCGATAAATAGAGTAATTGTAGACACGAGATTCAAACAGAAGTCAATTAGCACAACTGAAAACAATATACCATTACAACATTTTAGCAAACGTTTTTATATTACTGATCAGTTAGTGAGTAAAGTGATTGTCTATGAAGAAAAAAATTACAGATTAGAATCGATTAGATTACGAAGTAAATTCTGATTTAATGAACAAAAATATTTGAAAAATAACCCACTTTTTTCTACAGAAATTTTTATTTAGAAGCTGTATTCATTATGGACTAATATCAGTTGGGGACCATTGAAAATCTGGGAGCACTGGACAGCTGTTTCGTCCTAGTACGGGACTCCTCAGCAATATGCATCCACGACTGGGTACTGCCAAGGTGTCTGGTACTAAGACGAAACAGCTGTCCAATCCTCCCAGATTTTCAATGGTTCCCCAAATGATATCAGTCCATGATGAATACTGCTTCTAAATTAAAATCCCCATTCATCTCAAAAAATTTTGTTTTGTAAACTCCTGCATCTTAAGTCGCTATAAAAAGACGATGGTGTAGTGCGTCGAACATTGAAGATTGTCAGTAGAATTATTGGTGTTCCTCTGAACCTTCTCGACGAAACTGTTACGAGAAGCCATCGTAACTCATTGAGACATCTAGCAGGAATTATTTTATCAGATGATCAGAATCCTCTTCACTCAAAGCTGTCGGTCGTCAAGCAAGATCAGGAGCAAGTATATAGGGCTTTATGCACGTACTGTAAAACATAAAACTCTACCATACCTTATTTACCTCATAACCTGTGCGAGGAGGGAATTGTCTGAATCAACTAACTAATCAGTTTTAGTTTTTTAAAGCAAACTAATTAAATATTTTACAGCTTGCTGTAATTTATCTATAATGAATCCAGTAGCTAATGCGATTGTCTACCTAAGTTAACTCTGCATTTTAAAAAAGTTGTAGATTGAGTGAATATTCTCTGATATATATATATATATATATATATATATATATATATATATATATATATATATATATATATATATATACTTCATTGCATTATCTATACATAAAAACAGTTTCTGTCCAACTGATGCTACATGTAATTGAAGCAAGTCGCTAATGCGCGCTACAATTATTCAATTTGTAGGTTCATGGGAATTTATTGATTGATTTTAGGTTGGTATTCATCATGAACTGATACCAGTTGTAGAAATACTGAAAACTTGTCAGCACTAGACAACTGCTTTGACCTAGTACGGGACTCATTAGCAGTGCGCATCTCTGGTCCTTTTGTCACTTCTCTTCTGTTTTCCAGGAACCAAGCGACCCTCAAGTGTGAAGCCTGAAATTATTCTTCAAAATTCTGCTCTTGGGTTGCTAGTGGAGCATGGCTTCAGTAGAACATCGCCATTTTACTCTCTTCTCTGCACTCTTTTCAATCTAACTCCACCAATGTCCACAAACTTTCATTTCTTCCTCACACCTTCTCCTCCATGTCACCCTCGCCTCCGACGCCCAACTCGTCGTTCCCCATTCCGGTTCTACTCGAGAGCCTAACGCACGATGTTCCCAAATGATCTTCTCAGTCTATGTCCATTCCAATCCAATCCAGTTCATCTCCACTTTCTTCCTCTGCACATTTGTTGAGCGATAACTTCTTGGTTGGTTGGTTCGTTGCCAGCCAGCCAGAGTTCCTTGTTACTTATTCTTTTTATTCTGGCCATCTGACCGATACTCAGTGTCGAGTGAGCGTAGGCCTAGGCGTAGGCGGCAGCTGTTCATGTGGTGTATGTGTGTAGTTTGTTGGAAATGCTTTTCGTGACACGCCGCCAAGTCTGTCAACCACCACATAGAAGCAGTCACTCAGTCAGTGGACTTGACTGAATTAGTGTTGAAAATCCGGATGTTGTTCACTCTTTATGCTGAGTGGAGTGGAGTATATATATATATATACATGAGCAGGATATATCACAGAGTATAAAGTTATTTATCAGGGCTACCCTACGTCTTTTATCGTCGTCCATCACAGCACAATATGTTCGTTTTCGAGTTTTACGCTAAGAGTTTCCAACTGAACAAAAACCGACTTATTTGATTGATAAAAGTTGGTCAATTCAATCTGCTGAAAACAGTTTATAATGTCTGCAGCTTTTAAACAATGTTCCACAAAGAAATTCATGAAAACAGTTCAGATTTGACATTAAATTCATAAAACTATCTTGTTAACATATCACTTATAACGAAAAGTAACTAATCAAGCGTGTTTGAGACAGGTAAATGAATTAACGACTTGGTAGCCAGGCTAATATTTGATCACTATGCTTAGAAGCATACATTTATTGCATGAAAGTTAAATAATATTCCTTAACACTTTAACACTTAGTAAATAGATAGTGCTTTAAATATATTACTCTGTAGTTGAATGTTGAAAACAGTATAATAAACTATGGTTATTCGATGAAATCTCGATTTACGCGCGAAAATTTTACCAGTAATCATGCTATTAGAATTCACGTAATTACTCGAGTAGACGGAATGATAAACGCATTCAATCGCATAATTTCATAAGGTTTCTCTAGTTCTGAGTACAAACAAACCCTCAAACGTTAATTTAAATCTATTGATTGCAAATTTAATACTACATTTGAATTTCTCTTCAAGTTTAGCTAAATTCCTTTCACTTAGTATGAAGCTGTAGCTCCTTGGTTTAAGGAGATTACTTGTAACCACTGAGTCATCAGTTTGAACTCCACACCACTTACCGAGGTTCGGATAGCCAACTAATAACAACTTTGACCGATACACAGCTGATACTGGGTGGTGATTGAAGGTGAAATGAAAATTTGGGCCACAGCGAAATTCAAACCAGCGACCATCTCACCAGTTTGAATCCCACCGCGGCGTTCAGTATCGTTATTACCTACGTCTTATTCCACTTGGTCACTACGTCCCCCTCTCTAACTAAAGTAAGTTTAGATTGGGATGAGAAGTTCTGACTGGCCAGCCAATGTGAGTATGATCAAGGGATAATAACGCGTCATGAATTCATATGTCAGTTGGGAAAAGCCCTTGGTGATTGAAGTGAAATAAAAATTGGTCAGGAGTCGGGTCTCGAAGCTGACTTGGTAGAGAACTATGCCGGAAACCCGGTGGTCGCTGATTCGAATCCTGCTGTGACCCAAATTTTCATTTCACCTTCAATCATCATCCAGTATTAATACTGGTCTCTTATACCACGGCTATCTCAGATAGTCAGAATAATAAACAGCCTGTAGTCGATTATTAAGTTTGACTAAATAGCATTCCGGAATATTTTCTTAAAATAATAATTTCGTGTATGTTTTCAAAGAAAGAACTCAAGGAATTAGTACCAAAATATTCCACTACTTTTACATTTGAAATGTAAGATTAGTTCAAACGCTGTAAGGTTTGAAACGATTTTCGCTAGGTTTGAGTTTTGGTGGGGAACAATATCACTCAATGGGAGAGAGATATGAACGATTAACCGGTCCAAAGTAGGCAGAATCGCGCCTCAAGCTGGATTTCCTTACTAGCTATTATTAATATGAAAACAAAAGAGTAATCTCACAATTTCATATAAAAGTAATACTTACCGCATTAATTCTGTATCTACATGGATTTGGTAAAACTGGTTTAATCCAACCTTTAAGTCTGTGATACCCAAGTCTCTGAAAGTTAATAAATAAAAGTAATGCGTATATTAATGTATGAAAAGTTATATACTCGTAAAATACTATTTCTTTATATGAAAAAGTGATATACAATAATGTAGTTTGAACTTTATAAAGAATTTCAAGTTAGTATTCATCATGAACTGATATTAGTTGGAGAATCATTGAAAACCTGGGAGCACTGGACAGCTGTTTCGTCTAAGTAAGGAACGCCTCAGCAGTGCACACACGTGACATCGCTAGGGATCAAATTCACGACCTCCAGGCTTTATGGTGAACGCTATAACCATTCTACTCAACCACTAGGTCAGAGTTCACTGGTCCACAGTTTCCTGTGTCTGTGAATTCGCAATGTAGCGCGACTATCTACAAGTGTCTTTAGTTGGTATCCGCTTCACCTCAAATTGGTCACGGCTTCTAATTAGAATTTCGAGATACTCATGTCGAAGCATGTCTTGAGCTCGATGCCTGGTGGGTCATGAGTGCATACCGGTGAGGAGTCCCATTCTATAACGAAACATCTGTCTAGTACTTCCAGGTTTTCAATGATTCTCCAAATGATGACATATGTAATAGTTACTGTATTCAGTCTCAACTAGAAATAGAGATAAAACTAAAGTCCATCGTATCAGGTGTGTAGTTTTAATTGTCTGATGAACTTTCGAATACTACCCTAATATATACTAGATATAATTTATCGTTATTTAATCTTATCAGCTTAGAATATTATCAACAATGCCATCGAACCACTCACTTTATGAGGGTTACCCAATCTACCTAGCCATTAAGAGCTTGATAGCTTTTGAACTCACGACTCGTTGATCGAAAGTCGAATATATTATAGTGTGTAGTTAGATTACATAGAACAGCACAGGAAGCCAAAAATCCCTGAAACCTATCGCAGCCAATCATATTGCTACAGAGTTTTGAGAAAAAGCACGTGAACCTACATGCAAATGTTGAAGAGGCAAAATCAATAGGTTATGTCTTTTTAGAAAGCTTTACAAATAGTCAAGGTCATTGAAGTTGTACATAGTTTGACACTGGTATACACCTGTTATCCTACCGCTTTTTCTATTTACCGAAGAACTGAGCGACCCATCAAAAATGAAATCTGAAGGTAATCGTTCAAGTGTCTGTTCGTATATGCATAACTGAGGCGTTATCCGAATATTTAAACCAATTAGCCACAATTGTATGAACGCTTACGTAATTATAAGAAGTCGACAATGTCAAAAAATATATATATCAGAGATAAAAATAAGTGGAAATATCTTACTTAGAAGTTTCTGGATCATAAAGTGCTAATAAACTGTCCATAACAGCCAACTGATCTCGTTCATTTTCACTCTCATCACCTGCATCTATTCGATAATCTGAAGTTGTAATGGTCTTTTTTACAGAACTAGAAGCATTCGAATCTTCATTTGTATTGTCATCAGCATCTGGATCCCATAAACGATTTAAACCTACTGAACCGGTGACTTGTTCTATTTCTATTGGATCATCTAAACCAAAGAGATCAGAATTATCATCACCTAATGGATCATTCTCTTCTAAATCGGGATTCGTTTCAGGAATTGAAATACGGCTGTCAGACTAATAAAGATGAGAAAGTAGGAGAAGAAGAAGAAGAAACATACGAAGGATTAAAAAGAGAGAATCAAAACAATAAAAGCAATAAGATAAATTGTTATTCATAAAAAAGTTTGGTCATTGAAGAAAATTTATGTATATATCCAGTAGTCCCAACTGTTCACAGAGTAAATCCTTGTGACTAAGAGTCAAATATGAATCATATACAAAGTAATTATATTTATATATACTGTTAAAAGATACCCACCTCTACACGTGAACCTCGACCACGACCACGGGATTTTAATGAACCACGAGATATGCCAGGTTGAATACGTCTTTCTTTACCTCGACCACGACCTCTTGATGGTTTCAGTTCAGCTGCCATAGCACGTATTTTTTCCAATTGCATACGACGCCGTTCTGTCAAAACTTTTTTCGAATCTTCGTATTCATCTTCACCAGGTCTTTGTAACATATAAATGAAAAAAATGTTTACACTTTTATAAAAATATAAATGATATGGTAAGCGAAAAAGTGCTCTTACTGTCTCTTATATCCCATTCTATACATACTGGTAAAAATTCCATAAGAAATTCGCCATAAAATATGATGTATGCTAAGTATTATCGTCAGTGAGGTAGACTACAAATAAAATCCAACTACTAAGTTTAGTTATGAGGCAGCGAAGACGGGACTTCCTTCAGGTGAACGTAAACAAGACACAGGTGATGAAGATACCCAACAAACAACAACAACAACAAGCACCAATCACCATCAATGGGAGAAATCTAAACGAAATTGTCTCTCTCTCTCTCTCTCTCTCTCACCAACCCACCTACATAGGCACCATCGTCTCAACTACAGCTGGCACACGCACATATGACGATGTCAAAGCCAGACGGGATCGGAAAGACAGCAAGACACACCTTCATTCAATAATCTGAAATTAGTGTGCACTCCACTCTACCCCACTCCACTCAGCATAAAGCGTGAACAACATCCGGATTTTCAACACCAATTCAGTCAAGTCCACTGACTGAGTGACTGCTTCTATGTGGTGGTTGACAGACTTGGCGGCGTGTCACGAAAAGCATTTCCAACAAACTACACACATACACCACATGAACAGCTGCCGCCTACGCCTAGGCCTACGCTCACTCGACACTGAGTATCGGTCAGATGGCCAGAATAAAAAGAATAAGTAACAAGGAACTCTGGCTGGCTGGCAACGAACCAACCAACCAAGAAGTTATCGCTCAACAAATATGCAGAGGAAGAAAGTGGAGATGAACTGGATTGGATTGGAATGGACATAGACTGAGAAGATCATTTGGGAACATCGTGCGTTAGGCTCTCGAGTAGAACCGGAATGGGGAACGACGAGTTGGGCGTCGGAGGCGAGGGTGACATGGAGGAGAAGGTGTGAGGAAGAAATGAAAGTTTGTGGACATTGGTGGAGTTAGATTGAAAAGAGTGCAGAGAAGAGAGTAAAATGGCGATGTTCTACTGAAGCCATGCTCCACTAGGAATCCAAGGGAAAAAAAATAAAATCATAGCGATAATAACAGTTTCGTTATCAACGAAAATCGTAGTCTACGTTCGAATTCCTAATCTATCACAGGAAAGAAATGTAACGACTTAATGCGATTTGAGAGTTTCCAATGCACAATAAATGGGAACTCATTTTCACCTGGTTGGTTAGAATCAACAGCTAGCCTGGCACTACTGGACAACGGTCTCAGTTGCCACACCTCTTATCAGCATATCGAGATAGAATGGAGACGGATGAAAAAGAGAGGATCTAAGAGAGAAAGTAGTCAAGAAAACATGATGATTAAAATATTAATGTGTAAATGTATCTGCAGTACTGGGATTGATTCTCAGCTATACCGTTTGGAGTCACCAACCACTGGTTTTTAGTGTTACACGAACGCCAAACAAGAACTTTGCAGTTCCGCATATAGAGATCACACCAACAGTAAGAGATTTGTACGGCTATGGCTATCTCAGATAGTCAAATGATAACTAAGAGATTTCATGAACTGATGTCACGTTTCAACCTCAACGCCTTAAACCTTTTGTCCAGCCTGAACCTACTTCAGCTAACAACTTTGTGCGGTCGCACAGACAGGGACTAGGTATGCGCAACACATGTCCCAGTCATCTTAGCCTATTAAGGTACTCAACCTCACCAACTGACATGTTTTATTTTAATCTCATGGATTCCACAGTACAATGTGCAGGTTTATGGGCATTTATTTATTGATTTCACGTTGGTATACATCATGGACTGCTGACATCAGTTAGAGAAACATTGGAAACCTGGTAGCACTAGACGGCTATTTCGTCCTGGTATGGGACTCCTCAACAGTGTGCATCCTTGACTTAGCTAGAGGTCAAACCCAGGAACTACAGGTCCAGCGGCCACCATGTTACCATTGAGCCAGTGGGTTGCAATCCAATGGTTCAATTTTTTTACTTCTGTCCAGCGCTCCTAGGTTTCCAACGTTTTTACAACTGATGTTAGCAGTCCATGATGAATACCAACCTGATCTCATAATGATTTATGCTGTTGAGACTACTTGAGTTATTTGTAGGACTGTGACTCATGTGTCTACACGTTCGATTATCAGCTATTGTTTATTGTGGTCAGACAGATACTATTGACTATAACCTGGGGAATATGCTACGTTTGGCTCATATATTAGTACATAAAGCCTTTATTAGTGCAAGAGGAAACATTTTTAAGCCAGGAAAACCAGCTTCGGTTTCCAATAAATTTCATCACTTCATCAGAAGTATTGGATGTTATATTTACCTTGGTGACTAGCAGAGGAATCCAAGAGACGTGGTTCGTCCTATTTGGGTTTCATCAGCCGGAATTTACAAGTATCAATACAATAACTGACACTCGTTACGCAAGAGGTGGCTATCGTACCTAAGTGGCCTAGTGGATAACGCTTTGGTGTTCGAAGCGACAGATACTGGGTTCGAGTTTCGGTGGGAACAACATAACTCGCTGGGGTGTAGGTATATCCAGCTAACGAGTCCTGAATAGGACGAAACGAGCATCTCGGATTCCAGTGCTAGTCACCAAGACAAATATAACACCATAAATACCCGGCAGAATCAAGGTATCTACATAGGAGCCCATCTGCTAAGAGAGGTCGCCCAATTCGGCCTTGTATAGCAACGGAAAATCACAAGTATCGAAACAACAATAAATATCAGATTATGTCAAACTCCATACTGCGACATAACTATATGTGAGATCAGTAGTTATCTGAAATTAATTTATGTTAAACGTTAGAATAAATAACTGCTTTCTTGGCTATGATTTTATATAGTTTGTGTATCACGAGTTGAAGTGCACCTCAGCTCCGCCAAAGCTTACGTAACCAGGTGGTACTATAAGCTGTCATTCATATGATAGGTGATGTGGTTTATCGCCGGTTGGATGAACCTGCAAGTTGGTTGTTCAGCTGTTTCTTCTGCACAAAGAAAAGAATTACAAAAGCAAACAAAAAGAGGTGTATATTGCAAAGGTCGCTTGGTATTCTTGAAATGACCGAGTGGAATAAGACATTGAGGTCATGACGATAGTGAACACTTGGAGTGAATGCACTAACAGCTTTTTACTCAGTGAAAAAATATTAGAAGATATAGACTGGGCTATGACCGACAAAAATACATCACATAAATAGTTTTCATAAAAATATGAATGTTCTAGGTCAAAGATAGGATAACTTGTCCTGATTGGCTCCCTAAGATATGAAATTGTTCAATAAAATTTGTCCTTGTCATACAGTAGCATTGAAACTTAAAAAACTTCTCCCTCATTGGCTAATGGCTTAAAATGTTGATTCTCATTTTACTTCTTTAATGGGTAACATTGAGATAAGGAAGTATTTTAGAGAACCGTTGAAACGCTCAGTAAAATCAGTAGTGGACAAATGAGAATAGAAACGCTATATAATACAAAACTGTTAGAAGATGAGACTTCAATAAACAGCTATAAGTCTTAATGTAAACAATTTCATGTGAAGTAATGCATTCATAGGAAGAAGAAGAAGAATTCTTTATCACATGAACTTATAACGAATAATGAAAACTAGTTAACTGAAACTAGTATTCATTCATCGAAAATATAAAATGCATATGGAGAATGATAAAAATAAGTTATTACCCAGAATGTGTAGAATCACCATTACGTCCAACAGTATTAGAACAAGTTGATGTTTGTGTTGTAAGTGAAGATTTTAACTGTGGAGAGAAATTACTAGAATCCAATCCAACATCAAATTGATCATTAGCATGTAAACCAATTTGTGTTGCTAAATCTACACGACTTTGACGTTGTATTCGTTTTTTTGAAATGTACACACGACGATCTCTTAACGAAGTTAACCAAAGCTGTTAACATGAATACAGAATTTACTTTTATTACATTCAAGAAGAAAAATTCTTTTTTAATTGCTAACATATAATTCTCTGAAATAGTTTTAAAAAAAACTTGTATGCCTAAACTGAATGGACATGTAACTGTCATACAGGTTCATTTGAAAAAAAATCTCAGTCACATAAATATATATTTTGTATGGTATGGAAGTGTTATACTTCACTGTATAATTCAGTTCTCTTGGAACTCTTGCTCTCTCTTTCACGTCTGATATCAACTCAGAATATTCTACACCAAGTTGGAGGTCGTTAGTGTGAAAATACATTTGGACCAAAGCCAATAATCCTTTTTAGGTGTCATTTTCTACACCTATCTATCCCCTCCCCCACCACTACCTATATCACTTATCGTTAAATCAGAATGGATGATGAATCAGGCCAATTAAGTGGTTGCATGAAATCGGAAAGTACTATAAAACACACCAAACTGGGTTAGGGTTACCTCATTTCTATCACGAGAGACGATACCATCTTAAGTGTTGTAACGGAAAATGAATCAATTTTTATGGAGCATTTTTGTCTCGCCGCGTTTCCATCTTTAGAATTTTTGAAGGACACCTTAATGGAGTATGAGAAGCAGACATACAGGTACTACATTGTGCGAGATTCACATTTGCAACGTAACCGAAGGGCGTATGTCAAGTTTGTTTGTTGAAAGGCTAGTAGACGCTAGTCAATAAATGGTGCAGTGAAAAGAAAGTCAGTTCTTTCCGTTTTCAGAAGGTTTCTAGACAGTAACTCGTTGGTTTTCAACTCACAATCGTTGCTCCAATTCTCTGCTTGGGACAGGAAGTTGACGGGATTTGAAATGAACAGCATAAGACCGTTGCTAATATCTGGTACGCCTACATTTAATGTTGTTGATTTCATTTGTGCACAATGTGGCAGACGTCTGAATAATCAAGATATGTCATCGCCTCTTCGCTTAGTACAATTTGACCGGTATGTTAATTTTCTCTTGAAACCATTTTGTTGTAGGCAGTTATGAAAAATTGCACGAGCACATAATCAATCAAGGTGGATTGGCATCCTTCTTCATCACTGAAGTTGGAGATCTGAAACACTTTTTCTTCATCACAGTGGACCAGATGAAATTTTCTGAAAACTGTCTTTGTCTTCTGGGTATCAACATTACCTATAAGATGGATAATGAGAATCTTTTTGTCTAAAAGTTCGTAGCCATCGACATCAACTTCATGGCTATTCCAAAGGCTTACGCTTTCATAGTCAGTGAGACAGCAAAATTGATTGGTGCATTTCTGCGCTTTGTTAGAAATGTTACTGGAAGCCGTACAGTGGATGCTTTCATGACAGATGACCATCCTGCAATTACGCCTGCGTTATGCCAAGTTTTCCCCCATTCACTTCACCTCCTGTGTCTTGTGCGTATCATTCGCAAAGTGATCAAAAGGGTAAGCCTGTATACCAAACTGTTTAGAAAATCTTGATGTTTGCAGAGATCACAACCGGAGGTGTTGCAGTACTTCTTTCAGATGTTGTACACAAAGAATATAAAAAGGTTAGTGTCAGTAAATGCAATAGAGCATTAGAGGAACTTTCGCTAGAACAGATACTTTGTATCTTTATACCCCACAGCTGTGCCCACTTCACTTTCACATTTCAGATGGAAACAAACTTCAGAATAAGTGAATTTATCCTTCAAAACGGGAAGAGAACGAAAAAAGCCCTTCTCAGGGCCATCACAAATGTGATCTGAATGACTTCTTCGTTCTTTTGAATAAAACTATTTCCTTTTTCTAGGATTTCCTAGATACGTCTATGTTCCAAAATATAGAGTGATGGGTGCGTACTTTTGAGGAGTCTCAAATCCAGGGTCGAGCAATTCGTCCCTGAATAGCAACGGGAAATTACAAGTATCAAAGCAACAACTGATACTCGTTGTACAAGAGATGGTTAACGGGCGTCAGTAGCGTAGTGCATAACTCCTTAGCACTTGAAGCGATGGTCACGAGGTTCAAGTCTCAGTGGGAACAACACTCCGCAATGGGGTGCAGGTACATTCAGTCGACCAGTCTCAAATAGAACGAAACGCGCGTCCTGGATTCCTTTGCTAGCTACAGCCGAGTGAATTATTTTCCAGTTCACTTTATTTACCAATCAAATTAATCATGGTAGTCATCTATCTAAACTTTACTCATAGAATGAAAATAAAGTGTTACTTGAGGCAGTCTACTCTAGCCTCATGTAAAAACTTGGAACAGTCGTAACTGTAACTGAATAAAGTAACTGTAATGTTATTGTCTTCGTCTTGCAATAAGATTTTAGTTGATCAGTGAAACTGTGTTTATGAATTTCATGAGAATAACCAGTTACGTGGAATAGCCTTATTTGTGAATTCATAAAATTCCGTGTGAATTATAGATCAGTGAAGAGGCTGTTGCTACGACAAAAAATCAGTTGACAATGTTGATTTGAAAAATTTGCCTCACCCTGTGCATTTAGCATCAGTTACGAAGATATAACAAAGGTTAATCGCAACATATTTGAGTTCTTAACATCCGCACCATATCAATAAGATGCTTCGAAAACCGACGTTTTCACTTCTAAACAACAATGCACACATGGTGTGACCTGTATGTGGATTCGCAGTTGATCTGCTCCATTCCGGCAGTCTCATTTCATCAACTAGTAGCCATGTGTGCGGTTAGCCAGACGAAAGTAAAGCCGATGTCAACTGAAGACCTTAGTGGACAGTCACACTATATCGATAATTGACAGAAGTAGAAAGCTGTTCATCATTAGACTCTAACTAAGTGGGTGAATAGTTAGTACGTTCACCGTGAAACCTGAAGGTCCAGGTTTGATCTCTAAAAGGGTGGTGGGTGGGTACTACTGAGTCCCACACTGGGAAGAAACATCTATCCAGCCCTTCCAGTTTTTCAGTGGTTCTCCAAATGATGTCAGTTAGTGGTGAATATTACCTGATATATATATATATATATATATATATATATATATATATATATATATATATATATAAAATCCTCATTTTGATCGCAACAACCGGCATTAAAACCATTTATTGATGCTTGCAAGCTGTGGCCCAGTGGATAAGGCCTTAACGTTTGAAGTGAAGGGTGCAGGGTTCGAGTCCTAGTAAGGACATCATCACTCACTGCGATGCATGTACATGCAGCTGACGAGTCCCAAATAGGACGAAGTGCGTGTGTTGAATTTCACTCTTAACCATTATCAGGTAAATTATAACTAGCACTAAGATTTAAATAAACTAGTTAGTGTGCAGTCTAATATGTGACAACCTTCATCGTTGTGTCTGATGAAACCATGTGATATAGAAACGAAATACTATCCATATGGGAAATTATCTGACTATTTGATTGTCGATAAATAAAGGCAGAGTTAGAGTAGACATCTTACAATATTAAATATCAAGACTTTAGAATATATGTTAGTTGACTTACAACAAATCACCATCTTTGAACTCCAAGTCCTGTGCCATTTCTATACGCTGTAAATTGACAAGATATTACAGAAGAATACAGTAATTCCCTATAGTAACACATAAAGGCATTAAAACAGCTAAATATAATAATTTCTATGTCTCATTATAGATGTGACATTGTAACTCAATCAACTGTTCATACCAGTTAGTGATTGACATGAGTACATAAGGTAGGCGGGAAAATGAAATCTCTCAATCATCCGGTAATTTATTTTATACGTCTTGATTAACGCTTTATTAACTGACAAATAACTAACAGCTTGACTTTCTAAGATAACTGTGGTTTGACAGACTTGTATTATTGTACTGGATGATGATTGAAGGTGAAATGAGAATCTGGGCTGAGGCAGGATTCAAACAATCGACCTCAAGGAGTTACCAGCCCAGGGCTATACCAACTGAGTGCTACGAGACTCAGTTGGTGGTTAGATCTTAATTTCACTTCACTTCAATCATCAAGGGTTTTGTCCGACTGCCACGTGATTCCACGATGTGTTACTATCCATTCATCGTATCTACGTCAACTTGAATTAGAAAAGGGGAACACTCTATTGTTTATCAGTTTGAATAACTGTGGCGGCTTTAAAAGCAAAACTTTTCAGTATCAAACCATCGAGACCTGACGAAGGAAAATCAATGAACAAAAGGTTGAAGATGAGTAACAGACTGTATGATGGCTTATACTGTCATACATGCATCCGCAATTGTATCATCCATGCATTCATGATGGAAGAATAAAAAGTGCCTAAGCATCTCACTAAAGAGCACAAAAAGATAGAGAAGAAAGCCGTAGTTGTAGATACAAAGAAAAAGTGACTAATTGAGACAAATAATTCTCAATTATATATTGCCTTATTTTGTATCTTTTGAGTACCAATGTTTATTCTATATCATCAATATGTAATTTAGTGAGCGTAAGGCTGTGGTCTAAAGGTTTAGGGAGATGACTTTCAACTAATGAGTCATGGGTTCGAACACCGCTCCACCTACTGAGATGGTTTGGGTAGCCAAGTAGTAGTAGTATCATTGGCTCTCATTTAACAGATATAGCTAATTGCCTACAACACGAATGTGCACAAGGTTGTTGAGTGGATATAGATTTGGTAAGTTAGGCAGTTACTTTGTTTACTCAAACTATAAGTGAAGTGCAGTCGGTCAGTCAATCAATGACCTTCATTCGGTTAACTAGTTATCTTGTCAATCACAACATTAAGGCTTTCATCAGCCGTTTCAACATATATCATTTGACTATCTGAGATAGCCGTAGTTTACCAGACTAGTATTTATACTGGGTGATGATTGAAGGTGAGATGAAAATCTAAACCATGGTTAGATTCGAAGCAACGACTACCGGGTTTCCGGCCAGATGCTCTACCAACTGAGCTACGAGGTCCGACTGTTGACCAGATTTTTATTTCACTTCAGTCACCAACGGTTTTGTCCGATTACCATGTGAATTCTTGATGTGTTACTACCGCTTGATCGTATTCAGACTGGCTGCACAGCTATATATATATATATATATATATATATATATATATATATATATATATATATATATATATATATATATATATATATATATATATATAGAGCTATAATCCACTTACATGTCGTAATTTAGCTTCCGTAAACTTGAAATCATTCATGTTTGTATTAACAGTCATTTGTGATTGTACAGCAGACGGTAATGATTGTGAAATTAAGAATTCAGCGGCACGTTTATATCGACCAGTTAATTCATTACTCACAGTATTGAATGTATTTGTGTATACAGTGTTCAGCATATCAAGTAGATATGCATAAGAGGAGTATTTTGATTTCATATCATGTTGACTTCCTTCAATTATATCATAATCCATTGACTCCTCTTCATCAATATGTTCTGTTTCATTTTTTATTGTAGATGACATGGTTCCAGATCGATTAACAGTAAGTTGAGTTTGTAACTTATCAATAATTCTACGACAAGCATGAATCTCTTGACTTAAATCGACAGTATTTGATAATCCTAAATTAGAAATGATTTGCTGAAAAAGAATATCAATAATTGGATAAATATGATATAAGATTTCTGGTTCAATTAATACCTAAAGAATTTCTATTAGTATAGATTTACATACTTGACCAAGTGAATAAAATATTAATGAGATTAGTACAAAACTGATGACACTTTGTAGGATTTGGCTGTGAAAATGTACTTACAACTTCACGTCCCCTGAAGAAAGATTAGACAGGAAAGAAGTCTATTAATATAAGTATAAAACTTAAGCATGATGGTAGGATGTAATTCCATATTAGATTTGTTTATTGGATTTATAACACACAGTGTGATACAGTATTATTTACTCGATGACGACGTTTCCAGCATAAATTATCACTGCTCATAATCATATTAATGTAGTCCATACTAATTTCGACATCTGAGGTAGTCATGTCATACCTCATATTCTTTGTTTCGATTGACAGCATACTTTTTCATATCTCCGGTACATGTGTTGTGTCATTCTTATTACATGTCCCTACAATGACTGATGAGTTTTTTTAGCACCACCTACCCGCCTTAACTGACATTGGATGAGATGACTTGAAGTTTAGATACCTGTTAGAATGTATTGGTCCGTCTATCCTTCGTTTTATTCTGGAATCCAACATAGGTAATTCTCCTTGTTCATTTTCTACCTCGTAAGTGAGTTCGATTAGGTTTATGTGTGAGAAAACTGTCAATATGTTCCGATTTCAACACAGTAAGTGTGTTGTCCACGTATCGCCGCCACATCTTGGGTGTAGGATGAAACGTTCTTAAAGCTATGTTTTCTTTACTATCCATAAATATCTCCGCTATGGATGGGGATACTGGTGGTCCCATTGCTACTCCTTCTGTTTGTTTATATATTTTATCCTGAAACTTGCAGGCTATGGAGGTCAGGCACAACTGTATGCCTAATATGATTTCATCAACTGATATCTTAGTTCTATGAATAAGTTTTGAGTTAGTATTCAGTCGATTTCTGACTGCTTCCAGTGCCATACTGATTGGTATTTTAGTATTAAGATTTGTTACATCAAAACTAACCATTTTTTATTTTCTCCTATATGCAGACGCAGAGACAACAGCAGATATGCTCACACCACTATTGCAGAACGTTTGTAAGGAAGGAAAGGTACCTGCCCATTGATTGGAAGAAAGGCTACCTTGTCAAACTCTCAAAGAAGGGAGACCTAAGTCTTTGCAAGAACTGGGGCAGAATCATGCTCCATCTCTGTCCACTCCAAACAAAATATTAGGCCGCATCATTCTGGAGAGAATAAAAGCTGTTCTGCACTCAAAATTACGACCGGAACAGGCTGGCTGGCTTCACAAAGTACAAATCATGTGAGGACCAAGTTGCAACGCTACGCATCATCATAGAACAGAGCGTAGAATGGCAGTCAACTCTCTACCTCAACTTCATCGACTTTGAAAAGTCTTTGCTTCGACAGTGTCGACCGAGAAGTAATTTGGCAGGCAGCCGCTTCAACAGCCATACGATGATTATGATGCTACATGCTAAGTGATTCACAATAGAAAACTCAGTGACGCCTTCGAAGTGAAGACAGGAGTAAGATGGGGTTGCCTACTATCATTGATGGTCTTCCTGATTGTGGTCAACTGAACTGGACTGGATCATGCAACAAACTGTGAAGAGCGAGCAGAGGGGTATACGCTGTTTGACCGATGGATTTCGCCAACGATGATGATTTATGTCTAATGTCTTGTCGCACAAACTCGAAGATCTACAGGCGAAAACTAACAAGGCGAGGCAAGGCAAGGCAGCGAAGACGGGACTTCCTTCAGGTGAACGTAAAGAAGAAACAGATGATGAAGATGCCCAACAAACAACAACAACAACAACAAGCACCAATCACCATCAATGGGAGAAATCTAAACGAAATTCTCTCTCTCTCTCACCCACCCACCTACATAGGCACCATCGTCTCAACTACAGGTGGCACACGCACATATGACGATGTCAAAGCCAGACGGGATCGGAAAGACAGCAAGACACGCCTTCATTCAACAATCTGAAATTAGTGTGCACTCCACCCCACTCCACTCAGCATAAAGAGTGAACAACATCCGGATTTTCAACACTAATTCAGTCAAGTCCACTGACTGAGTGACTGCTTCTATGTGATGGTTGACAGACTTGGCGGCGTGTCACGAAAAGCATTTCCAACAAACTACACACATACATCACATGAACAGCTGCCGCCTACGCCTAGGCCTACGCTCACTCGACACTGAATATCAGTCAGATGGCCAGAATAAAAAGAATAAGTAACAAGGAACTCTGGTTGGCTGGCTGGCTGGCTGGCAGGCAACGAACCAACCAACCAAGAAGTTATCGCTCAACAAATATGCAGAGGAAGAAAGTCCAGATGGATTGGATTGGAATGAACATAGACTGAGAAGATCATTTGGGAACATCGTGCGTTAGGCTCTCGAGTAGAACCGGAATGGGGAACGACGAATTGGGCGTCGGAGGCGAGGGTGACATGGAGGAGAAGGTGTGAGGAAGAAATGAAAGCTTGTGGGCATTGGTGGAGTTAGATTGAAAAGAGTGCAGAGAAGAGAATGAAATGGCGACGTGTAACTGAAACCGTAGGTTCCACTAGGAACCTAAGAGATTAATAATAATAATAACAACAGTGTTTCGTGCGATCAACCCTTCCTTCCCAATAAGTCTAGCGTTCAAAACCAGTCCCGTCTATTTTGGACTAGTCAACTGAGTAGTATAGTTAGCTCTTATACAATAAGCTTAGCTCATAACCTAGTAAGTAGACATATGTATCGTGTTGATTTGTATTGAATCAGTTTTAAGCTCCTGTAAATTGTCTAAATGACTTCGCTATCTTATAGTAATAAAAAATTAATCTTGGAATTCAATTATCATAAAAAGAGAATTGATGGTATTTAGTAAATGAATCGCTTGATAACTACATCCTAATGACATAATGTTCATAGATAAAGTTGATCTTCTAAACGGAATGTCTCTAAAAAGAATTTCAGAATAACTTCATCAATTCAATAGTCATAATAATCAATGCATACTTGATGTAAACTTTGTCAACACAATACGCAATGAATGTTTAATTTTATAGTATCTAAACATCTTCTTCTTCTCCATCAACGGTGAAAATATGATGACTTCTTTATTAGGATATTGTAGATTAAGGAGTTAACATATCATCAACTGAATATAGAACCTGAAACAAGAACTTCTCATTTCTTGTTATCAATTGATATGGACCGAATTAAGATATCAAGGTATATCCATATTGCACAAGAAATAACTTTCTTAACTCAATAACCTAGTGAATAACGCTTTAGGATTCTAAACGTTGGTTCCTAGACCCAGTTTCAAAGTGGACAGGAAGGCAGATATATTCAACTGATGAGTAATAAATAAAGCGAAATTCGTCTCTTCGATTCTACAGCTAGTCGCTAGCCAACCTTAATATCAAAATGATAAAGAGTCAAATTAAACAATCTATGGAGAAGGAAGAAGTATTGATAGTTTCTATTACCTCTCATGTGTTAGAAAATAACCTGATTAAAATGATCTCTTCATAACTAGAATTGTTTACAACAAGAATAGTAAATCTTTTAAAAAATTACATCAAAATGATAACATGTTTTACAATGAATAGTTTATTAATTAAGATAATTAAAATCAATCTTTCTCGAAGAAAATTAGTTACCTTAACAATAGGTGAATTGCCTTGTTTCATTAATTTCTCAGCTTTTGAAAGTTCATCAAAGCGATGTTGAGCTGATTCAAGCTTTAATTATAACAATAAGACGAAATTGAAGGATAATTTATTGTTTAAAAGTGAGAGATGAAATTTAAAATATATGAATTAGGTAACCATATATACATTTGTGCAGTAGACAATGAACCACATTTTACATTACTGAAAGGATTTAAATACGCACACTCGACTGATAGATAACCTTGTATGCAAGATTCACAGACTTAAACCGCGGACGAAATAGAGAAGAATACTGGACTGAATGGCAGAGTTTATTCCTCCGAGAAGACTAGTCAATTAATCAGAATTTGAAACGTTAACATAGTACAAACAAGCATTAATTATTCAGTGGATAACCTTGAAAATGGAAGCGGGAAAAATGAACTACCGGTCATGCCGTAAAAATGGAGTGAAAACGACAATTTAAAAATGTTTAGATGAATAAACAATGTTTTATGCAAATATGGAGCCTTCAAACATTACACATATTGTATGAGGGATGATGATGATAATACCTGGTTCCACAGACCACTTTAGGCAGATCAGAGCCCGGACTCATGACCTGTTGGTGGAAAGTTGACTGGCTAAACCAATGAGCCACATCTGGCTTCTACTAAAGTTACTGTGTGAAGATACATGACCCCATATGATATTTCTTTTTAAATACCTAAGCCTAATGAAATTAACGCCTGTTAATAACCGATATAAATCTAATACCCCAAGTACTTGAAGATATTGGGCTATAAATCTCGACAACTATACGGATATAAACTACAACTGTTCACAAAATAATTCATGGAGTTTTATTTCACAGGTTTAAATACTATGGTTTTAACAATGAAATATAAAGCAAAGCTTGGTCACACTTAACGAAGTAATAAAGTTATGGGTTATAATTCACGTTACAGCGAATAGCAATGGAATCAGGAACGGGCGTTTCGTTCTATTTGGGAGTTGTCAGTTGAATATACCTGGCTCCCAGTGAGTGATATTGTTCTCATTCAGACTCGAACCATGAACTCATCGCTTTGAACGTCAGAGTGTTATCCACTAGGCCAGTGAGGTATGATAGCCACCTCTTGTATAACGGTTATTATTGTAATTCTCTGTTGTTATATTGGATCGAATTGATCGACCTCTTTTGGTGTATTCACCAAGTGAATTATGACAATGAATATTTAGGCCATATCTAAGCATTCGCATAGGAGCCCATGTGTCAACAGAGGTCCACCAATTCGGTCCAGTACAACAACTGGAAATTGAAAGTACTAAATAATAAATTCTTAGATTTCCTTAATGTCTCGCTATCAAATTACTTTCTATAAAAACTGTTACATGATGGTCTATTACTGTTTTAATATCCTTTACATTTATTGTCTATGACCTATACACTTATATGCTGTAGACTTTGAATCACTAGGGGGGAATACATATTCATACTGGGTGATGGTTGAAGGTGAGATGAAGATTTGGGCCGCGGCCGGACTCGAACCAGCGACCGTTGGGTTTTTCACCCGATGCTTTACCAACTGAGCTACGAGATCCAGATTTCCATTTCACCTTCAATCATGATCCAGTAACAATACTAATCTGCTAAACCACGGTTATCTCAGATAGTCAAGATGAGAAGTAACCTACAAGTTATTATAATGTCCAGTGATATTAATGATATAATAATAACGTTGACAGTCTTAATAAAAGTGTTGACTGAAGAACTGGTAATAGAGATGATGATAATAATGAGAATCAAGAAACCAGCATGATAATGTCGACACTCAGACAATAAAAGTGGGTCAAAAACTTGGAAAAAATAAAAGTTGCTTAAGACTAAGAGACGCAGTAAGTGGATAAACGAAGTCTAAAGAAGTATACTATGTATATGAAAGTAGTGAAAAATAAAGAAGGGATAGAAAGATTTCAATGTTAAAAGATGCACAAACTTCTTCTGGATACAAGGACTTGAATTATTAGTTCGTATTCCCTTAGGTTTCAATATGTGTAAAAGATGAGTTCGAATACTAACCGAAAGATTAGGTGGTATGCATCACTCTCATCTACCAAGTGACCACTATCTCAACGAGATGTGATAACACAGAACATCTGATGGATTTTATCTGCCTCTTTCCCGACACGTCTATTAAGTTTCCTGGCAGTACGTCTTACATAGCCTTCTCCACACCAGCAGCTAAACTTGTAAATACACACAAAAATGCTAAAGCCAGGTAGCGTAGCCTCCGTCTGGGCAATAACAATTGGTGTTCTTCATATACTGACATCAGTTGGGGAAGCAATGGAAAGCTGGGAGGACTGGAAAGCTGTTTCGTCTTGGTATGGGACTCCTCAGCAGTATGCACAACGCACTAGGAAGAAACAGATGTCCAGTGCACTCAGGTTTTCAATGTTTCTCTAACTGATGTCAGTCTGCGATGCATATCAACCTGAAATTAGTAAGTAAATCCTTACAACCTCGTCTTCAAAAAAGATGATGGAAGTGGGTTGTTCAGTAAAGTTGATGAAACTATTGATACTCTGAAGATATATATGTTTTACAACTTACTTGTTGTTGTTGACGTTTTCTATGCACGGTAAGCAAACGTTCTGTTTGAGCACGTTTTCGATCAGCCAATGCTTTTAAGTCTTCATCAGATGGCTAAAATAGTTTAAAACAACTAAAGAAATGTACATACTTATAACGTATAACGTATACAACGTGGACTAAGACATCCATTTAGGTGTAATAGCATAGAAATGAATAGCTTTTAAAAGCTAAACAGTAATGCCGAAGGTAGGAGTGGATGTTCAAAACTGAATGGGTTAGAGATAGATCACACAACTAAATCTGGATTTGGATTGTAGTGCAGTTGAAAGAGTCATGTAGATTTCGCGTAGGGAAATAATATACTATCAACTGATTCAGTTTCCACCTATGTCAACACTATTATTATTAGTATTGTTACTGTTACTATTATTATTATTTTGTGTTGAGGTTAGTGAGGATTTTAATGTTAAGGTAGTATTCATCACAGAATGACGACTGGCATCAAACCCAGAACCATAAGGTCTCGTGACCAGTGCGTTAGCCATTCAATCAATGAGTTGGAGTTCACTGGTACACAGTCCCCTCTTTCTATCAATTCACAATATAGCGCAACTATCTACCAAGATCTCCAGCGACTGATATCAGTCCGTAATGAATACTAACTTGAAATAAGTCAAATCCTCATTAACCTTAAAACACAATACTTTACAGTGCTCATTAGTGATATGCTTCGGGATAGATATCCCGAAGTTCTAATCAGAAGCTGTGCATGACTTGTGGGGTTATCCAGTCGGAAGGGGAGTGGACGTCAACTGAACACCTTGAGCGATAGTCGTGCTATGTAGCGAATTCACAGAAGCTGGAAACTGTGAACCCTTGAATTCCAACCCAGTGGCTGAATGGTGTTGTGGGTTTGAACCCTGACCCTGAGAAATAAGCCTTCTTTCAACTTCAATAATTACCATCCTATCAAGTGATGAAGTGGCTCACAAGCAAGAAACATCTTAATTAGCATAAAAATGAAATAATATTGAAGGATGGGATGTAGAAAATGATACGCCTTTCGATAAAGAAATCGTAACTAATTCCATTTCATGAAATGCCATACTTCCTTGTTTATAAAATGCTACTTCTTTACTACATATAGTATTCATCATGGCTTATTCACCTACTCTCATAGATATTCCAAACGATTGTCCTATAGACAGTCTCGATGAACTATTTCTATATGGAAATACACAATTCCATTTATATATATCTCATCCGGAAAAGTGAGAAGAATCAGTAATCCACTCAAGTTACAACCAAGTCATACTGGTGGACATCCAGTTATTTCTTTCTTCTGTAATCTGATCAAAGAAGAAAGGTAGCAACAGTGATACACTTCTCATCACCTAACACAAAACAAGCCTATATCCATGCTATCAACTAGTAGCATTGTTAACAGCTGACGATTTCTAAGTCAAGGATCTCATCCAGATACCCCTTTTTGTTTAAGAATAGAAATGTAGGTGAAAAGAAGACTCACACAATTAGAATTTTATCTTAAACTAAATGTATATTTCTTTCTCTGGTTTCGATAAGCGCTTAACTAACTAGAAATAAGTGCTGACAAAGCTGTGAAGGCGGATGACACTTCCCGGGTGCCCACACTATGGAAGGTCCGGCCCGGTATGGTGGAATGTGTTATTTTGGGGGCCGACCTTTTCCAACCCTCTCCCCTTCCACTGAGAAGGCAGCATCAGCATGGCACTGCAGATCATCTAAGGGAAACACCTTACCGCTGTCACACCCCATCCAGCTAGCAGTAGTATGACTTCAACCTCAGATCCCCATCGTAGTGTAGTAATTTATACCACAATGGTAACTGCTTTTCATTTAACCACTATCCACCAGACCTTTCTAGTATGGTAGGACCTCGAGGGAACAAGTGTTCCACCAGTATAGCTCGTTGGGTCATTGTGATATGCAAGCCCGACCACTACGTCAAGATAGCAGCTATCGGTCGGGAGAAAGAAGACTAAGTGCATAGATACAACTAGGAAAACTGAACGATGTGTATGCCCACTATACATTTTCTAGTTGATAATTATCATGGACTGAAATCAGTTGGAGAAACCTTGGAGGATTGGACAGCTGTTTCGTCCTAATATGTAACCCCTCAGCATTGCGCACCCATGATCCCATCAGAGATAGAAACCAGGGCCTTTCACGACCAGCACGTTACCACTGGGTCGGAGTTCAGTGATCCATATTAGTTGACTTCCATCCACTTCCATAGCTTTGGAAGTTATCCTTGCGAAATTCTAAAAAAGAATCATGTTTAACATTGAGTGCTACAAATGGTGTTAGAGACTCACTTACGAATATTTTATATTGACCAAAAGTATAATGGAAAATCCATACAAGATAGAAATTGAAATGACAAACACACCTTGTTAAATGGAAGTTGTACTTTCATTGTATGACTACGACGAAATTCATCAGATTTCCATTGGACCATTTCATGTCGATAGTTGGAAGCAAGATGACAGTAGGAATGAGCTAATTTCTATCCAATAGATAAATAAATGTATAACAGCATTATTAAGACAATAGCAAACAATTTGATAGTTTCATAACTAACTTATCTTTAGGTTATCAAGAATTTTATGCCGAAAATCAAGAAAATTCAACATAATCGACTCAGTATAGCAATAGGAAATTAAAAGTATCAAACAATAACTGACATTCGTTGTACAAGAGTTGGTTCTTGTGCTCCAGTGGCCTAATGGGTAACGCTTTGGTGTTTGAAGCGATTGGCAGTGCGTTCGAGTCAGTGGGGACAATATCACTCAATAGGGTCCCAAATAGGACAAAACGCGAATCCTGGACTCCACTGCTAGTCAACAAGCAGATAACAACACAATAAGTAGTCAGGCAGTATCGAGACATCCTGATTGGAATCCACCTATCAACATAGATTGAGCAAAGTGACCCAGTACAGCAACGGGAGATTACAAACACCAAACAACAATAATAATCTTACTACATTTCAGTTGTAAAACAGCGCAAAATAATTAGTGTAATAAAATCTAAACAATTTCTTTATGTATTAATGATGGATAGTGGCTAGAGGTTGGATCCAAGACGCGCGTTTCATCCTATTTGGGACTCACCAGTCAGCTGGATGTGCCTGCTCTTCCCAGTGAGTGGTGTTGTTCCCAATGGGACTCGAGCTCGGAACCGATTGCTTCAAACGTCGCGGCGTTATCTACTAGACCACTGAGCCACGATGGCCACTTCTTGTGCAACGGACATGGTTTCAGTGTCATTGATTGCATTATACCGTCGTTGATTGGGCTGAAATGATTGGTCTCTATTAGCATATGGGCTCCTGCCTCGATATTCCCTGTATTTTCATTATAGGTATTAATGATGGATAACGCTTTGACGTTTGAAGCTACTGGTCCCGAGTTCAAGTCCCATTGGGAACAATATCACTCACCCTGAGGCAATTACATCCAGTTGACAAGTCCCAAATAGGACGAAATGCGTGTCCTGGATTCCACTGCTAGCCACTATCCATCACCACTAAAATTAAAAGACAGGTAATATCGAGGCGTCCGTGCGAGAGAAAGACAGATCAATTCGGTCCAGTAAACGACAGGATGATACAAGCAATGACACAAGTTTCTTTATGTATTATAAGAAGGGTATAAGAAAGTACTTGGTGTGTTAAAAGATTACAGTGATCTTTAAGGCAAAAGTTTTGGATGAAGTTAGACACTGGTAGACATCCTAAGAGTGATTGGACACATTTAGAACTTTTGATATAAAGTATTCACTTAACATAACAGTTTTATAACATTTGGGAAGTAGAAAACTTCTGACACTGGTGATACTGTGAGGAACAATGTCCAGTCAATATGAGTGTAACAGTCTTTGTGAATATTGATTGCCCTTGACAGAACTATCTTGAAATTCCCTCTGTCGTTCTGTCTGTGAACACTAGCCACCTATTAGAAGACTTCCTGTTTACTCACCGACTCCACCATAACATTCGTCAACAATATTTTGAAGGTTTTCGGCCAATGACTGTATCATCAGATAAGTGATACTGAAGTCACGTATGAGATGTTAAATAATGAAGATAAATTGTCTGATATGGTTGTGAAATTAAATCGATAGAGATGGTTGGGGAAGGCATTAGAAGAGATGAAGCCAATAGTTGGCAAAGATTTGTGATTTTATTAATAGCTTTATTCAAACACTTGATACCAGGTTACTCACTAGGATCCGGGCTACACTTTATTTACGACAACCGAAATCAAAGTAGATACGATGTATTTCAGAAGACAACCTAATGATTAAATAGTCAAAAGCTCAAACCAATAGGTCACATCAGTACATAATTCATGGTTTTATTGATTACTAATACTCATGACGGAAATGTAAACTTCCATCTTGGAGCTCACTGAGCAATGAAAACAATTGATTAAAAGCCTTTAATGAAACGACTGGAAGTTGGCTCGAGTGATGTAAACGCGTTAACTTTTCATCCTCCTTCAGAATCTAAAACTTATGTTATTCTGGTTGTATTCAACCTTATTTGTTATGAAATGTAGTATCACCAACCTATGTATTGAGTTATGGCTCATTGGTTTACGTAACTTACTTCTAACGAGTGGGTCACGGGTTTGAACACCACTCCATCTACCGAGGTTTGGGTAGTCAGGTAGTATCATCAACCCTCACACAATAGGGTAGGTGGCTCATTGCCTACTACCCCGATGTACATAAGGTTGCTGAGTATATTCGATGTAAATGAGTTCTACACCGGTTAAAAAGAAGTAATAAACATACGATCAGTAAAACAACGCAGCCACAATCACTATTTTGGCATTTGTACTTCCCAATGAATGTAAAACAAAATAAATTTGTTTAGAATTAGTATTCACCATGGACTGACATCAGTTGGGGAACCATTGAAAATCTGGGAGCACTGGACAGCTGTTTCGTCCTAGTATGGGACTCCTCAGCAGTACGCACCCACGACCCGACTAGGGGTGGAACTCAGGACCCTCAGGTTTCACGGCGAACGTGTTAACCATTCAGCCACTGGGTCGGTTTCCAGTGGTTCACAATTTCCAACTTCTGTCAATTCACGACATAGCGCGACTGTCACCCAAGGTCTTCAGTTAGCATCCACTTCACTTCCGACTGGTTGACCCCAGATTTCCAATGGTTCCCCAACTGATGTCAGTCCATGATGAATACTAATTCTAAATTAAAAATCCCCATTCATCTCAAAAATAAATTTGACTCAACTAACGTTTCTTTATTTAGTGCGACTAATAGCTTTATCAAAGTTATAGTAAACCGGAGTTTACAATATCTAATATATGATAACTTGTGGAGTGTTCTTCTGCATTAATGATTCTGTGTTGTCGTAATTGTTGAATAAAGATGATAGGCATATGTAGTGTTGCGTGTGTCGTGTGTAGTGTGCATGTATCAGCGAAGAAATATTTCTTCGCTGATACATGCCTTGTTCTTGTTAATGAATAAATGGGTATATTTCGTCAGGAATTATAATTGTCTAGATAAGAATGAAGGAGTAAAATGCAGTTTGACCTGGTCTCAACCCACCCCCACATACTGGCACAACCAACATACCTACGATAAGAACTATCAACACATGTGTACATACAAATCTCAATCGTTAATTCATATACTCTTCGCACACGACACACTACATAGGCCTATCATCTTTATTCAACAATTACGACAACACAGAATCATTAATGCAGAAGAACACTCCTCAAGCTATCAAATATTAGATATTGTAAACTCCGGTTTACTATAACTTTGATAAAGCTATTAGTCGCACTAAATAAAGAAACGTTAGTTAAGACAAATTTATTTTGTTTTACATTCATTGGGAAATACAAATACAAAATTATGAATATCATCATTTACCCAATGCCCAAATTTTCTCAAACCATCAAATCCCAACTTGGTTTGGATATCTATAAACGCAGCCATAAGTTACCACATATTTGAACTCTCATATGATATTTCTCCTATAAAGACTTGAGGATGAATTACTCACAAATCTCAGTAATAAAACATATTGATAACATTCATTTGAAACAATAAAGTGCCACTTCAAGTCCTAATGCTTCAAACCTTACCTACATATTTCTTAGGAGGTCTTGAAGCAAGTTTACTATACAAGCATCTAAATATGAAGCAAGAGAAACATAGACATTTTCATTCCAATCCAGTTATACTGAAGAAACAGTTGCATCTTCAAAAAAAATCTCAGAAATACACAGAGAGTTGAAGTAACTGCTAAGCGATAAATAAAACACAGTACTTATACAAATCACTATCTCGACTACTCCAAACAAACCATTATCGTAAAGTGATTGCTAAGTTTTCAATTGTTACTTGAACACGTATAGCAGTAATTCAAGAGATAAGAAAAAGTTTATCCTTACAAAAACCGTAAATAATCGAATTGATGAAACTTAATTGAATGAGTAATAACTTAAGTTAGCAAACTTGTAGACCTAACCAACCATTAATTTCACACGGTTCTAATATATTTTTAGTACAATATGAGAAAAAACTTTTGAGTTGGAATACTTGTTTTACGTAGATTTGATTTTGAAATCCACTAACTGATCACACTTCAATTGCTAAAATCAGCAATGCCTTCGGACTAACCAGTCATCTTTTTAGTAGTGAAAAAGACCACTTTGCTTAACGGTAAATAAAAAAAATAAGGCTAAACAAATCACTATGATCAAAACTAAAACACTTCTGGTACCTGATAAGTACAAATGTCATCCTATTCTTCGAAGTGATTATAACGTTGGGTTGCAAATAATGTTTCTTGTTTTTTTCATATTTACATACAAAAAGTGACCTGTTTGAATTTACTTTATACGGTTTGGCTGGACTTGACTACTGTATTAATTATTGATTAACTTAGACTAGGAAGTAATTTAGTAGTTTTCAGGAAGGTATGCTCAAACCATCTTGAGTTACAAACAAAGCGCACCCAGATTAACAACACTGCATTGATAAAACTAACCATTTACACAACTTGAAAGTATTGTTTTAGGGACGGTATTCATATGACTTCTAAAATAAGTTATTATTTAGTGAAATTCCTGGAATAGAACTCTGAACCTAATACGACACTGTAAGTTTACGAAAAATCAGCATCTTTGTAATGAACAGCGTACTACATACCTCAGCCAGGCCTCCAGTAATACGCTCTGAATGACAAGGATATTTCAGCTGCAAAAGACGTTGAATCATCCAGCTGGCATGAGCACCTCCTGTATGAAGGCGACGCGCAGATTGTACCAGTGGTTTAAAGGTGGATGACAATTTCCCTTGAATATGCATTGGGATTATAGGGACAATATGAGTTCTCTGATAACCAAAGGATATCAACAAGCAGTTGGAGGTCTGACCTAATTCAGAAGAAAGACATTATATTTACGATAACTATTCAGGCCATAAAGATAATCTTAAAACTGCTTAAATTTGCAAGATATCACTAGTTGTGTTCATTGTTTTGAATACAATACCAAATACTCAAAAATTATTTTGAAACTAGCTAAATGAACAATAAACCTTCTAAATACAACCGCTTAGAAGTGAATAATAAATGCCATCACCAACAAATCGATTCTGAAAACGAGGGAAAGGGCATCAAGAAAAATTCTTCAAGAAGCCGACACAAGAAATAACTGACGAGAACATTGGTTTAGTATATAGATCGTGAGGCCGTACAACAATCAACGGAAGCTATTTCATGAAATTTGTTAGTGGTCTATAAAACTGTATGCTACGTTTTCCCATAAACGGTGCATATAAATTACTTCAGTAGCAGTAAAGAGCCCTAAGGTGACTGATAAGCTTCTCATCCTACGTCTGGTTTCTCGGAAGCTGGTATATTGCCTTAAAATTCAATAGTGGCTTTAATATCTTAGGAGAACATAATCATGTTAGGCGATGATACCCACCACACAGTCTTTTTATTACACGAAATAAAATCTAAAACGTTTAGTGTCTACCTCGCACTATGCGGTTTGGAGTGATGCCCCATGATAAGTTTGTGCCGAAGACTAGTTTAGGGACCAGACCTAACTAAGGGACTAAAGTGCAAAGGACTTCAGCCGCTTCACTTGTCTAGGGGGTTGAAAAGTCATGACGGGTAGATGTCCACCAAAATCCGTCGACATATGGTGTGTCTGAATAATCTATATCACTTGTCTGACCTTCAAAGACTGGAATCCCCATCAAAAAGAGAATGTACTTGGAGTCTACTCTGTCCTACTCTGTGGCTGTAAGATATGAGTGCAAAAGCTATAAGACATGAGCCGACCACATAAATCCAATTATAGGCAGGTTCAAATCATGCTAGAAAAAATCCCCGGACGAAGTTTCTTATGATGTGTCTATGCCTGTGTAAAACTCCTCGTGCTAGTTGATGATGTTAACGATAATGCAGTTCAGTAACAGTGTGCAATTATGCGTAGAACGCTAGGGACCGTACATATTGTGATGTCCAGCGATATGATTCTCCTTGAACCCACTATCTATTTCCAAGGACCCACAAGAGAATACGGATACAGCTTTCATCCAATAATGCACACTACTAAATAAGTCAGTCAGCCAACACCTAGGTGTTTTTATACCGATCAATACAGCCCTTCTAGGAACACTGTTTTTAACACATATGTAAAGTTTTCTAGTTGTCTGATCCCTGGGAATCAAACAGAAGTGTTATCACCATCAGACCTGGGATTTTCAAGGTGTCAGTGGTCAGTTTAACTCACACAGAGTTATCAAGACTATTTGATGCCTATAAACAAAGAAGCGGAAAACCAAAACCAAGCCAGTGAAGCCTACCTTATCTGCAAACCAGAGTTAAGTAAACTATAAATGCACCTGCTGCATCTAGAAATTAGAGGATTATGGTACAAAGGAAGGTGAGCGTTTCAACTTAGTTTATTTAAATTCCTTCAACCCCAGATAGAAATTAACGATCTCGTCAAAAAATGATAAAGAAAGTACTTCAACGCAGATTAAAAAGTGGTTATGCCTACTGTAGCCTGGGAAAACGTAATTGACTGCCTTGTACAAAAGAATTCATGCAGTTACCCAGCCATTATTATTTCCCCAATCTCATAACGTCAGAAATGAAATTATTTGTTTTACTTACCAATCAGCTTTCTAATAGCATTACAAAAGCAATCATCTCGGGTCATTCTCTTGAATAATTTCACAACAACGTTAGTTTTCGGTTCGTAGTGTCTACTGAGTCTTGTTGACCCTTTCCAATAACCAGTCTGTGGTTGTATAGAGCGTTAAGTCAACCTTGGTTTGTGTTTTCCCTAGCTTCTACTATGATCCAAACCTTTTGCAGCAAGTCACTACTATTTGATATTTTGAAAGAATCTGTTAGATAATTGGAAGCAATCGACAAGAAGCCTTTCACCTAGGTTTCATGCTTACTGGTACTTGTCAGCACAGTGTATTACCAATCTCGAGGGAGTTGATATCCTCTAAGAAACTTGAACCCACATCTTACGGAACTCGCAGATATGCCTTAATGTTGAGTGCCAGCAAGCGCGAGACCTAGGTTCAGGAATCACTGCCAACTGCCTCCAACTATCAAAATGTGGTGTGATGCTGAATCTTTTAGCCTGATGACCATATTACAAAATGACTGATGATTCAGTCAGCACTTACAACTAAACAAGATTAATAAGTCACCTTCCAGTGACAAATCAATGTGAACGGATCTATTGACACCTATTATCTTTATCTAGACTTTAAGTGAAGACATGATTGTTAGTATAACGATCTGCGCCACAAACGTCATCCTAGACTACTTCAGTATTAATATCACTAAAGATGCATCGAATGTAAAATTGTTTTTTAGTGGGAATCAGTCGCATATTTTGTAGGGCTAAATAAACATGATCTTAAATAATTACTTGAACACTTACTTGCAAATCAGTTGAAATGGAAAGTTGACAAGACTGCCTGAAATTATAGCAAGGTTTCATTCACTGCCTCCAGTAATGAATTTTACTTAGATTACAGAAACAGCGATCAATCTTGACCATCGATAACTACATAAGTTTTATCATCAAAGTAAGTACTTAACAAAACTATGTGTTTAATGGTCGATTTTATAGTCTAATGTATTATTTTACTTGTTTTTTGTATTGGTTGGTTAGGTTTAGAACTTTGTCGTTCACTTCTGCTTCCATATACATTGATGTATAAGTGTAAAAGATGTATTTAGAATTAATTTTTACCATTGAAATGTATTAAATGACTTGTACTAAGTACTGACAGTTTACTATATACAATTTAAAACTTACTGGGTATGTGGAAGATCTACGGTAAACGAAATGAATTCGACACATTCCACGTAGTTTTTTGTCCTTTCTCTGAGAATATTTATTCAAGGGAACTAATTTTGTGAAACTATGTGGATATAAAGCTGTGGTTCATTTGTTTCGGCAGTTAATTTACAATCGGTGGGTCGACAGTTCGAATTCTGCACCACTTGCCGAGGATTGGGCAGCTACGTAGTGTCGTTAGTTCTCATATAATAGATGTGGCTTATCATTTACTGCGAGGACGTGCACAGGGTTTCTGAGTGTATCTCACTCGTTCGAATGGTGATGTGGAGTCATCCCACTTTAGTCGGTTTATCAGATGTATCAAACAGTGAGTTTTATTTAGTGGACTACGTTCCGGACAATTTATTGCCCATAGTTACATCAAGATCAAGGTTTTTATATGTCTATGGACAAAAATTGTCCAATATGTAACCTAGTAGACAAAACTTTTATTCTGGCGAAAATTCAAGCTTTACTCATATGTCAATGCATATTCTTTTCAAATCAGTTGCAAGCCGCACCTAAGCTTCACACTGAAAGTGTGAAACCTATGAAAAACCTGATATATAACCCTTCAGTTACACGTTCGGTAGTGACGGCTGATACTGTCACACTGAATTGTGAATGCCACAAACAGAATATCGATGTCTATATTACCTATAAAGTTCATATGTACCAGAACTAGGTTTAAGTTAATTAAACAAAATCACATATAAAATGCGTTGAAAAAAGATAGTAAAACTAAGATCAAACATACCCAAATCCCTGGATCGCTGAAATTCATAGTAAGAGGCAAGACAGTCAACGTAAAACAGCAATTTAGGGATGCGGTATGTTTCGAACAGAAGCTCTGTTAGCTCTACAAAGAATTAGAGTACAAAATAGTGACTTGCGAGATCGGCATACACCAGGGTTGCAAAGAGCTTCATTAACAACCACAGGGTTTGAAAATGGATCCGAAACATTGAGTTTGTCGAAAATATGGTTGAAGACTTGTTCTTGAATTTCTAAGTTAGTGACAAGACTATCCATAAACGGAGACTTCAGACTATGACGAACAGACTCCAGATCTTGAATGTCGTTACCGACAAGAACACCCTGACAACTTTCGTATATAATAAATAAAAGTTACTTTTGACATGCGTGGACGATACACCACATTAGGGAAAATCATATAAGGATTTTTATGATGTGCATAACCGGCACGACATTCAAAAGTACCTGTTTTACACATCAGTATACGATAAGAAAACTAACCATTATCAATGACTATTGGCGAATTCTCTAAGGTTTCTGATGACCTTAGCTTTTTAGTAGGACTGCGAGTGAGTGGTTCATATGTAAAAGACGCCATTCATCTACAACAAATCTCAAGGTCGAGGAAGTGATCTTTCGAAATCTCGCCAAGGCATTATTGAGAATACAATCCTCACTATTGGATGAAGTGGAAAAAATTGATCACAATAAACTTTAGATTTGGTACACATGAAACCACACAGTTGGCAAGCATTTTAGCCGTGAAAACTTTGCTCATGCCATCAAGTACCTAACCGAGTCATCTGTCAGACACAAAACTAACCATTCCCAGAAAAGAGAAGTTATCTCAACATCAAAACATCAGCATCAAATATGCGGGCAGAAAAAACTTGTAGGTTTTGACCTCTGGCTTCCGCTCCTCCTCGTTTTGTTCGGTTATCCTCTTTCGGTGGTCACAGAAGTCCTTATGTTTTTCCCGCTTATTGCTCAGGAGATAGTAATTGCCTATTCGAAGGTATTTTTATCAGGTTGTAGCTCGGTTTGTATGGATAAAGGAATCAATTTATTAAGTCATAAGTGGGTGAAACACATTAAACCTTGACAGAAGTACTACGCATTTCCAGTTGATCAAATGTGCTACTGCTTTTTGGCTTTCAAGACAATCGAATAACTATGATTCCTGTATGGCAAGACCATGAGTGCCATATCCCGGCAGACTGTCTTGAAGGTCTGATAAGTGACATCATTTCTTTCGATAACCTGAAATGGAAATCTGTAACACTGTCAGGTAAATTCATTCTCCAGATTAACAGTAAAGTATTTCCATGTTAAAGGGTAAAAATAACAGGTGAACGTCTCAAATGTTTGATGTTCCTAGAATTGGGGTGAGTTAGTACCCAAAAGTCCTTTCCTTGAACCAAGCAATGACGCCTTTAATGTACAATGTTCAATTGACCCGTTATCATCCCAGTATCATAAGCCACATAGAACATCAAGCTGAAGAAACCTAATTACCCTGGGAGTGAATTTCTTCAAATTCTCTCAGTTCGTTTGTTCATAACTTGTAAAGTCTTAACAAACTGCTATCACAAAAGACTCATTCTAGCAAGTTCTTAGCTCATCACTGCATCAACAAAATTCGCTATGGTTGCTCAACTGTATCGTCCTCCATACGCAATTTTTGTGTTCTTGGCATTAGCAGTCGGGGGTGCATTATTCCGAACCTCCGACCTTACTCGTTACATGAAAAGGCCTGTCATTTTTAAAACCACGCCCTTCACCATGAAGTAGGCTAAAGCTGGAGGGTGTGCAGTAACCCACTCACCCTACTCCGAGTCCGATAACACTGGGCACCAAAGTGGAACAAAAAACGAAATCTCCCGAGGACGTTTTCGTGTTGTGAACTATTCAAGCACATTACAAATCATGCAGTGTGTGTTAAAGCATTGGAAATGCAGTTGCGAATTACTTCATTGCAGAGTTTACCCATAGAATAATTTTGATTTTATTTAAGGTCGTTGGGCACCACAGCAACATGGTTATGTTATTACACTTTTGTGAGTGAACACTGGTAATAGCAACAAGTAGAATTCACAAGATGCGGAGATCAGTAGTGCGTGTAGAGTCTTAGGATTTGTCCTGGTGTGAACTTGACAGACGCAAAGACCAATCACTAATTATTCGGACTTGCTATATACCCACGAATACGAGACCAAGGAAGAACACGATAGCGTAGTCGGACAGAATAGTATATTTGGGTGGTTGCACCAAGATAGCGATGCATTCCAACTAACTGGCTAGAGAGTCAAATACGAGCAGTGCAACGTAACACGACAGCGTGCCAAAAGGTGAGGATGCTTGACCGGGTGCCTTCAGCTTAGCGAGTCCAGTTAAATTATCAAGGTCAGCATCAGTGTTGAATGTCATCAAACCCTAGGCTATTGATTTCGGGGAAGTGTGTGACTCCACAGAGTCATCCATAACTTAATAATAATGACAGGGGGGAGATGACCAGTGCCTGCTTCACTTAGATGATACATCGATGATTTCAGATGCAAACAGAGATGGTAAGTGCTTACTATGATAGTTTGCCAGTCGTCCCTGTGAACTGAAATTAGGAAGATTATTTGCCTAAACTTCCAGCCAGGATTGGGAAAGAGGCATCAGATCCATTGCCTAGAGGAGAATAAAGCTCGGAGTAAGTACCTCATTGTTATGCTTGTCCTTTTTCTTTAATCACTAGCCACAAAAGGTTCATGAATGAACTCATGAACGCTTTGTATTTTGTTTTTCTTTGGTTGGTGCTGAACTATGAATTTCATCCACTCTCCTGCTGTTTCAAATGTATAAAAACGAAATCTCTGGTGAAAATAAAGTTGTTTCCCTCACTAACGTTTTCCAAAGAAGGGCACCAGACAAACTCAGACCGCCAACAGCATTAAAAGGAAACTACCGTCGAGTTAAACATACTGACGCAACATATAGGAGAAACTTGGTCTGTCCCCCTTACTTGTTACTGACCTTTTATCATGACGATCAGCGATACCAAGTGCATGAGGCAAAGGTGTAGACTTCACTTCAAACGGCGCTTGAAGTCCAATGAAGTTGCTGAAAATCTTTTCTTGTATAAAAGGGAAGAAACACCAAGCATCACTGAAAATCGCGTGCAGGACATTCTGCGATGATATCACATCCTTTAACCTTGATTTTTACACTTGCTCTCCCTTGATTCCACCGCACATCTTTTCTTCCTTCATACCTTTTTTACGGCTATCCCAGACGGATGCTGAGAGGCACGACACTTAGGGAACATATCTGCACTACCGTCCTTGGGGATCCCAAGACGAACCGTCACCCCTGTGAGCGTACCCTACTTCTCTCACACCAACCGGGCATTGTCAGCACCTGCGAAGTCATAGGCAAGTCTGACAAACCACGATCATTGAGAGAGGAGCAGAGAAAACCATCAGTTGAGAATTTAAACAGAAGCGTCGCTATGGTTGTACGTGGGATCCTAGAACTGCCAAGCGGCGTCTAACAGTGCCAATGGCTTTCGAATAAACTTGGCCTCGATAACGTACCCACCAGCGGCGTCTGTAGACCGAGGAGGCCAACACACCTTAAGTCCACCCCCACTCCCAGGCTAATCACCATCCAACCTGACCCACATGCCTCCCCCATAGACATTCCACACGCATGGTATAACGTGAAAGACAGCACGAGTGGCCAAACAGGCACGCGTGATGGCAAGCCAAAACCCACCAGGTAAGAGAAGAGAAGGCAGTTACCAAAGCCTCTGGAGTCAGTGTCTGTCATGCAGTCGCAAGTCAGCGAGTCAGGTAGGCCGAGTGCTGAAGCTGCTGCCACTGCAGTCCCCTTTACAAGATGCAAGCGAAGCGCCAGGACACATGGTCATTCCAGGCCCACGGGGACTGGCTATCATAGGTCCGACCAGGTGAGGGCTTCCTTCACAGAAACATGCAACCATTCCTTCCCCCAGTCATACATACCCTGATACGCAAGCATAGGAATGCTAGGGGACTGAGAGGGAGGGTAGCAGAGATCAGAAGGCTCCGCGAACATATGCTCTCGGATATCACACAGATCACAGAATCCTGGCTCTCGCCAAACAATTTCGACAGAGAGGAGCACGTTACTGGCCCGGAACACTTCCGTAGGGACACAGGACTCGGGGCAGGAGGAGGAGTGGCTCTCCACTTGGGCTGTCGTTTAACAGCTTTCAATGCCGTGACCCTGTTCTAGGTCCTGGAGCCCTCGTGGTGGTGCGTCATCCCTCATCGTGTTAAGTACCTGCTCGAGGTCGCAGGCCGGCCTCACATCGGCTGCTCTACCAATAGGGAGCTGGTAATCTAGGCAATTTCAAGGATCTCGCCTAAGGATCAGGACCCTGCAATCATCGCCGACAACTTCAATGCCGTGTCCATCTTCGGGATGAAAGAGGGGCGCACCCGATCCTTCAATCAGAAGCTGTAGAATGCAGTTGAGACCTCTGGTCTCCTGGCGAAGGTGGGGGATTTCACATACTGAGGGCCAACGGAAATGCACCCAGCCTGGACTACGCTCTGGGGAACAGTTATCTTCCCGTTGAAGACATGTGTATCTAACTGCCTGTTGGTCCCATTCACCGTGAAGTAGTAACTTTCTCCATGATTACCAAGGAGGCCTTGCAACCGGAGACACCCAACACCTTCCCGTCCCACAACAGGGTCAGCTGTGAGACCGTCAGGGATTACCTCATGAATGCATCATGGCCCGCGTACTGAACTCGTTTCGCAATAGATGAACATCGGACACAGGTGAGGAAAACAATCATTAAGGCCATCAGTTACAGTGTGCTAGAGGTAGCACACCGACCACCAGTGGGAACTTCATGGCTAACGCTTGAGACAAAGGGGCTACTTCAGATTGAGAAGCCGGTTTGGTTTGGATAAGTTTATCACGCAGGGAGCCAGACTTCTTGAACCAAAAAATTGCAACCGCTGCAACACACGAGTCTGTGGCGGTTGATGTGTTATTATTTGTCCCTTGGGTTCCTAGTGGAACACAGGGCTTCAGTAGCACGTCTCCAGTGCACTCTGTTCCCTGAAATCTTTTGAACATGGTTCCACAACTCCCTACAAGCCTTCATTTTCTCCTCACACGTTCTCCTCCACGTCACCCTCGGACGCACGACTCGTCGCTTCCCGTCTGGGTTCCACTCGAAGGCCTGGTGCGCGATATCCCTGAATGGTCTTTTCAGTGCATGCCCAATCCATCTCCACTTTCTTCTGCGTACTTGTTCAGCGATAGGTTCTTGGTTGGTTATTTGTCCGAGTGAGTTTCTTGTTGCTTATTCTCATTATTCTGGCCATCTGATCTTCAGCAGCGAGCCAGCGTAGGCAGTGGTCGATGAATGTCTGTGGTTTGTTGGAAATGCCTTTCATGATGCGCCAAGCCTCTGAGCCAAACAGAACCACCGACTTGACATTGGTGTTGAAAATATGGATCTTGCTCACGCTTTATGCTGAGTGCAGAAGATCTCAGAGGATGTTTAATCGGAGAGCTTTCATTGTCTTTCCAGGCGAAATCCTCGGCACTAACTCCAGTATGAAGTGGGCCTTCAATATCTCTCCGTGAGTGATTTAGTAGCTAGCCCTGACGAACTGGTTACAAAGTAGCTACAGAGGCCTGTACCGCTTCATGTTGAAAAGGAAGTCGGCTAGTAAGGGGTAGACCTTATCAAAGGTGCTAGTGGGATGCACCAAGGAGTCTAGAGATAAATGGATATATCACCTCATACTTCCAGGGGCAGCTTGCTACTAGTGCTGGATCTGCACCAGTTCGACGAGGCACTGGTTGAACTATAACTGATGGATCCACCTGCCATATCCCAATATCAGAGAAAAAGCGTCGGAAAAACTGTCCAGACTCCGCTTAGGCAGGCTCCCTGGTCACGCTAACCCAGAACAGGTAATCCTAAGAAGCTGCACCGAGACTTCCTTGAAACCAATACCCGACCTCTTCAGGTGCTAGCAGGAGTCGTGCAAACTCCCAAAACAATGGAAGTACGCGACCTTGTCCCCCATCCTCAAAGAACGAGAAAGAAAAGGTGGTGGCGGCCGCAGACCGACTGCTCTACTCCTCACGCTGTCCAAAATATTCAAACGCCCTGTGGCCAAATGGGTTTTGGAATTCCTTAACAGGGGAAACACAGTCCATACTACTCGCGAGGGGCTTTTAAGTGGCCCTTATGTACCACCAACTTGCTGGCTGCCTAGGACGACCGGACTTTCGTCTGGGACAACAGAAAACCGGCACATACTGTTTTTCTTGACTTGCCTGTGGCGTTTGACGGTGTTTCCCGCACGCTCCTGTTTCAAAATATTGTGTCAGCAGGTACTTGTAAACACCTACTCTCCTAGCTTAAGGCGTAATTACAATGCAAGCAGCTCTGCACAAGGGTAAACAGAATAGGGTAGGAGTGGGAGCCATCGACATCGGCAGGATCCTAGGGAGCAACTTCGAGATCACTTCTGTTGCTCCGTCAACAATCTGTCACACAAAATCCACCCATCCATCTTCCTCTTTGCTGACATGAAAATGTGGGGGGCCGTATAAGAAGAAGCCGATTGTACAGAGCTCCAGAGCAACCTCAAGCTTCTTGAACTCTGGTCATCGGAAAACGGCCTGAGCCTCAACCCGGAAAGATGCAGGGTGGTGCCTATCAATGCATATGAAGCAAAAACGGCTAAACTCTAATGCGGGTTGAGAAACCATCCTGTCATCAAAGTATCGCCAGAAGATTTTGGGCTCAACTTCTCGGGAACCCTGAATAACTGTTCCAACTACAAAGGACTGGAGGACAAAGTGAAAGCCACCTTTTGCTTTCCGGATAAGCGATTCGGTGCTCGTGCCCATAGAGCGTTTCTCACACTTTTAAAATCCTACGTACGTGGCATTAGAGGTCCTCAATACAGTGGTACCTCCAACACCAAATAGAGACTACATTTGCTTGAAAACACAAGGGTCTGCAAAAATGTCGGTTGCCAGGCTGAGGGGGAGGTACATCATGAAGGACCGGAACGCCTAAATTTATTCACCATAGTCTATCGCGGAAACAGAGGTGACCTTATAACGGCCTACAAAATTATCCATCGGGTAAACAGCGCAAATAAACCAGGCTTACCTGCAACACGGCGGTTATCACGGGGAAACCCTGTTGGGATAGCACGGCAGAAAGCCAACACCCGGCCCACGCATAAATTCTTCGTGGAGTATGTGCCATATGGAAGACCTTAGCGCTGGATGTTGTCACTATCCCATCGGTAAACTCGTTCAGTCGGTTTCATCATTTCCCACGGTTTGCCACGGACGTACTTCAGTGAATTACCAGCGTCGGTAGCCAACCATTACTTCCTTTCTACTTACCACTCACTACCTCCCTTGTTGATACACATGCATTACTCGCTCACTATTCTCTTCTCTTCCCTTCTAACCTATACTCTCCACTTTTACCCTTCGGGCAATTCCTACATACCTTTTCTCACTATCCATCCATTCCTATCCA